TAGGGACAAAAGACATTTTTAGAAGTAGGAACGTGTAGCGCAGTGATTAGGGGTTCCCTGAGATGCACAAATGGCTGTTGGTTCCGCCACCCATTCTATGCAAACCAAGACCCAATCTTACTGGTACCGCATTAACCTGAGTGGATAGAAGCATTGACTTGATATAACGCTACGCCCTAAAAAGTCGTTGTTAGGCAAAATATGCACTCGGTCACCTCTTTGATATTCGGTTTCTTGAAACTTTCAATATAGTTTGGAGATTCTTATGGAAGCGGTATACTATAGTAAAAATTACGAAATAGCTTAGTAACGAGATCGTTGAAACACAGAATGTCCTTCGGTGGTGCCTAGTCGCTTCCCTTTAAGAAAACAATCAACATGTTCTCACCTATACACCACAATCATTCTATCAGCTTCATCACCGAGCGCTTCTTTCATCGTTCATCTTAGACTGGTTTCATAATGCTCGCTATTTCCTTCACTTTTTCATGTTGCAGCAATCATTCCAATGTCATAACTCTTCACTTCTATCACATTCACGAACTACTTGGTATTAATCTTGTAATATTCATCTAGTACACTTATTTACTTGGTAAATTTTATCGAGTCTAAGCTTTTCAGCGGAGCACTTGATTCTTACCAGTACAACAATATGACTTCCACAGTGAGCCACCGCCCCAGCGTGGTTGATAGCACTATTCGATGTCGAAAACGATGTACAGCGGGGAATTCGTGATCTTAGATTCAGTGTCTCCGAAAATGAAAGAGGGGTTCGAAATTCCTATACGAAGCCCCATCCAACAGTAAATCAATCCCAGAATTCAACGGTATCCTTGTAGCTACCTAGTGGCAAATCTGCTTCTGATTCCTCCTACGATTCTTTGTGATTATGAATGAGAACTTCCTAACATAGACTACAAGAGCAGAAAAATCAGATATTGTCCAAATGGTAACTTATTAGTTAGTTATGAGGAAACTCGCCGGGGTCCACAAGATTTATTGTGAGAACCGTCCATTAATCATTCAAGCATGTGTTGTATAAAGTCAAAATATTCGCTCTTTATCAAAGTCTTATTTATTCGACTCTTTAGCAAAAATCCGAATTAAATCAAATGAATATTCGACAACCATAACGTTATTTACTTTTTTATTTACTGCCTACTACAATTTTCACGGCAGCGAAATCAACCACGACGATACTGGGATATTCACAAAACGTGGACGCCTGGCCAAGTCGAACCACGATTTCCCTTTCTGGGGGCCCGCGTATTACACTCGGCGCCACTGAGGCCTTTGCTCTGCGTTTCTCTCCGCTAGCTTTCTGTCTACCAGTGCTGTTAGCGTTCACCCGTCAACGAGATTGACCTGGGGAGCACACATCGGCATTGAACCCAGTCAAGCTGAGGCTGCAGTCGAAATCACAGTGTTTACTTTTTTATTTATTGCCTAACACAGTTTTAACGGCAGGGTACCATGCAAAGTCAACCACAACGATGCTGAGATATTCGCAAAACTTGGACCAAGGCCAGATCGAACCACGATTTCCCTTTTCGGGGGCTCGCGCATTACACACCATAAGATAGTTGAAATCCGCTGAAGCTTAAACGTAGAAGTTAAAAAAGATCCATACCAGTTCTCAATCGTTGAAACGGTCAACTAAACTAGTATTCCAATATTTAGCATTGTGTAGTAGCTTACTGACTAAGACGTTCATCAAATATTTAGTGTTCTCAATTTCATTAAATTACTACACCATTAGCTCGATGTAAAAAATCTCTGTGGCGCCTACAACACGTCTTCGAAAAGAGCAGGAAGAGAGAAAATGTAACACTTCATCAAGGCATCACTTCGGATGACCCAAATATTAGTTCGTGTCTTTCTGTCTCTGAGCAAACCATTTATTAAAACGGTCTGCGATTGGTTATCGAAGTGATGTAATTGTTCACAAATGGCAAAAAATACATCAGCTTAAAGATTTTCCGGTGTTAATATTAAAGTATGAAATATAAAAATGATAAAAAAGAAAAATTCAGAGACCGCCCTCGCCTTTTTAATGAGCAGCGATTCAATGAATTGACACCAATTCTGTTATCCATTAGCATTCAACTTTTTTCAAAAACGACCTGTCTTCACACGTGCGTATCCCAGCACTTCTTTAGATCGGTTAATTAGCTTATATCCATCGTCCACGTAGGTGTCCAAATCTGAAAGTGTCTTCTGCTGCTCTTGAAATATTCGGACTTATTCTTCGACTCCGGTAAATGCTGGTCAAACTCGTTCTTCTTGAAATTCAAGGGAAGCTCTCATAAAGCGTTCACACATCTTCACCACTGGCATTCGATGGCCTTTAGGGATTGAATAGAGATTTTCGGTCTTGTTTTTCAATTCCATTAAATGCTGGTCGAGCCAGATCTCCCTGGAATAGTAAGGTAGCTCTCGTACAGCTCACCGAGTCTTTACCACAGGTAATCGCGGACATCTGGGGATCGAATAGAACTCTTGTGAGGTGAATCTAACATTAATTTTTCTTTCACGGATGAAACCCTGTGGTTGGCCTTGGGCGTGGTGGAACCGAAAATCACGTGTGTACCAAGGCACCTGATATACTTTTTTCTTTAGTTTGTTTCTTGTCAGGTAGCCTAGCGGTGGATTTTCCAGATTTTGAATCTTTTTGTTTTCTTTAAAATGTAAATTTAATTGATTCTTTTAGTATTTACCTATTTACTATTACTTTACTTTGTGCACATCAGACCTCTACACTTACGAGAATCCTGCTGTCAAAAGCAATCGTCCCTGCTCAGTTCCTCTCCAACGTGTGGAATTCGATTATTTCTTCATCCTTCGATCCTTCTTTCTATTCTTTCCTTCCGTTATTTCTTTACTTCTGCACGTGGCTTTTTTTGCACCTCTAAAGGCCTCATCGAACCTCAGAAATTTATTTCGCAGTGGTTTTTTTCTAACACAAAACCGATCGATAATCCACAATTTACATCCATAATTTACATAATTCACTGCCAATGTAATATTGCCTGGTAGTAAAGCTAAAAAGCGATCTTTAACTAAGTAATATAGAGATTTCTAAATTTTTTTTTGTAGAAATGATCTTTGTCTATCTGGTAAAATAAATATGTGTTATATCAAAGAATGAACTCCTCGGTTAAAATCTCTCCCAAAGATTATGTGACCATTTGCATTTCAAGTTCTGCTCTCCTCCTAACCTTCCATCGCTTCATTCATTGAAGTCACTCGATATGAAAGTGCCCGACCTATTTAAGAAAATACTGCATAACGATGATACTGTTATTTATGCTCCCGATATTGATTTCTGCTTTCGATAATGCTCCTGCTATGATAGATCAGAGGATTCCGACGGTCAGGTGAGTTATTTTTTACTTGACTTTATAGAAGAAGAAACAATTGCCTTAGACAAATATTACTGTCGGCGGGTTATGAATCTGAAAGGTACGACAACCATCCCTGTTCTTTGGAGCTAAAATTTTTCCATGTTTGAAATAGTTCAAGGAATCCAAAAAACGCTATCAACATCACTCTTCTGTGGAGCTAAATTTTCCACGAACTATGAAACAGTTCTAGTTTTGTAGTATGCTCACCTCCGCACTATTGTGTGACCTTCATTTTCTTCACTTAACCAGTTTCACATGCTTCCATCTTCTCGTTCTACGACGTCGGCGATCAAAAGCTAAAATGAAAGACAAGATGATCATCGCATTCTATCGTTCTACGTACCGGAAAGACTTGTCGTTTTGAGCGAGTTTTCGATTCTCATACCCGAGCAACATCTCACGAAACAACAACACCTTAGACATCTCTGGGAATGCGGCAGATAATGCAGTGCCAAGCGATGGAACTTGGTCAAAAAGTGATTGCATGATTAAAGAAAACAATAACAGTTACCAATAAAGAGCTAGTGACGATAAGCTTAGGTTTAAAATATTTCAACAAATCCGCCATAATGAGCATTGATTTCAATGCGCATATGCCCAAAAATGACTGGGCCTTCCAATTTTAAGCAGCAACCTCTTAGCCCATAGTGGTCCTCATAGTTTTAAATAACCGCGGTAGAATCTGGACATTTTTCCAATGTCAACACTACACAAGCTTTCTTATCCTACAACGATTAAAGTTTCGCTATCTTCGAACCCACAAATCTCTTGCTTTCGTTTTTTATCGCAAACACTTATACCTCACCAACAACGCTGTTCGTGTTTACGACTGCTGCAACTTCACTAAGATTTGTGTAACGTGAATGTCGTTTCAACTTTTCGACGGTTTGGAACCTGAAGAGGTCTAAATCAAAGTAACGTCCTAGAAACATTTCACCCGCCTTTAAGGCGATTGGTAAAGTTCTTATATTAGTTGGTTGAGTTCCGATATATCAAGTACTTTGATCGAAAAATAGTAATTAACCACCACTTGAATACATGGATGCCTAGACTTCACTGGTTGTACGGGCCCTACTATTATTTGAATTTTGACGGAGTTTTGCTGTCTTAGCTATTGTGGTTCCCTATAACCCCGAGGTCAACCTAGCTAAGATCTGCCTCAGATCGTCACCATCGTAGGCAGTCGCCGCCCTTTTAGATCATAGGGAGATTTGCCACCATGCGAGTAGTGTGATAGTAGGACAGTGGTGATTCTTTGCATTGTTTTACTTTTAGATGGGCTTCCCAATGGGAATGCCAGACTTCTTCTCAGCTTGGGAGACCCTGCCAGGGTGATGATGTACATCGCATCCCGACACCCAGGAACGCTTGCCAGCAAAGACGGGGCGGTACACTGTTGGGAGGGATTTGTTATTAGCTGGAAAAATTATCATTTCCTCCCAACGGTTTACTTCCCGTCTATTGCCGGTGGATCCATCCCCCGATAGGGTCTCGCAAGCTGAGGAGTCCGGCGCTTCCATCAGAAAGCCTAGGTAAGAGTAAACCAATACCAGCACATACCATTGGCCTGGTATCAAATTAGTCGCATGGTGGCAAATGTCTCTCTAATCCAAAAGGGCTGCGACTGTCTGTGGTGGTGATTGGCCAAGTCGATCTCTGGATTCCAGAAAACCATATTGGCTAAACCAGAAAACCTCCGAGAAAATGGAGATTATGCTGGGACTAGCACAATCAATGAGGACGAGCCATCCAAGTGTCCACGTAGACACGTAGATATTATTATTTCAAAGAACTTACTTTGCGTGAATGTGCTGAATATTTTCAACGGAAAGACGTTTAACAAGCCATAAGATGTATTAAAAGCAATTTGATACTTAAGACGTCCCAATAACGCTGAATGTCAATCACAGGTGTAAAACACGAGATCTGTGATTGGTGGCTGCTCACGTACTGATCAACAAATGAACAGTTAACCAATAGGCATCGGAGACCACACCCTTTCTTCGCCGGAGCCTATGTTCATCTCTTGAGTGGAAGAAATATGACGGCAGAAACATGACACAGGAACCATTTTAAACATATTAACCTTATGGTAGAGACAAGGACAAAAAGTAAAACACGTTGCGAACAATGTTTTTCCCCTTTGCCTTCCGAAATTCTCTAAAAACGTTATTTCCAGTCCAAAGGGCGCACATCCTGATTCGTGCGTTGGTCAATGCGCCTTCACGTTTGTAGAAAAAATCAGAAATCAGCTGGGAAACGCTAAAACGGCATCACTACTGCAGGTAAAGCAAAGTGAAGAAAGATCTCTCCTCACTCTGGAAGTGATTGCACATGTCTACATATCAAACACTTTCAGCTGAATTACAATGATTTTCTCGTCGCGTTCTCAAACACAACATTCTTTGAGAACTCCTGCAAGTAAGTGCTGATGGTATTCTAAAGCAAAGGAATCGAAGAGAAATGATTTCCAATCCATTTTTTTGGAAGGAAAAGATGAATTCAATGTATAATCGATTTAGAAGATGGTTTTAAGAAAAAGAACTCTTCTACGTTAACATATGATAACAGCAACTTATTTGCTATCTATTCACTTGAAAAGATTCTCACCCAGTTCTAGTCACCCAGATGTTTCAGAATCTACCATAATTTTCAACACTGTTCGTCGAAGTGCGAACCGGGTTATTTACACCAGCTATTGATGAAAAGCTCAGAAATTATCGATCACTACTGCGTTTATCATTATGAAGGTAAATGTATGATTCTACTCAATTTTTCTTGAAATCGTTATGCTAATTAAACGTCCCACGACATTAAACCGTAATAATCTTACCGGAAATATTAGTTGTAATCCGTCTTTTTTTTCAACCATGCGCTTTTCCTTTCTTAATTGGTAAGAACAGTTCAATTCGTAGCTCTCAGTTTCGGTTTCAAGCTTTTGTTAACCAAATGTCCCTCACGTAAATCGCTTCCTTGGTTATAAGAATACAAGTACAGAACATAAAGTCCCCTGTTAAGTTTGAGAAAGACTCAAAAAGGAGAAGTACAATCTATGAAGCGCTTTCTGGTAGAGGGTAACCCTCGTCGAAAACGCTTTTTCGTTCGATGTCTTACAAATGTCGATTACTCTCTCCAGTATAACACCATTCACCTTACATTTTTAAACATAAAAATTCTTCTGTGCACGTATCTTCTTATCCGCATTCGTGTCTTTTTCGAACTCATTTTTTTTCTTATCAAAATGTAACAAAAAGCTTCCTAATGACTGCAGCAGAAACAACACAGATGACGAATCCCGTCCCTAAATAGACCTGTTTTCTTCCTTCCAGTGAAAATCTCTTCTGCAATAAAGCCTTAAAGAAATTGTTCATCTTGCAACGACATTTTTAAAGTAGAGGTTCCTATAGGTATATGGCAGTTGGTTGGTTCAATGTCCATGTTTAGAATAAACCAGCAAGACTTGCCATTTTTACGGTAGGTATGCTAGCGAACTACATAACATCGGTTTCTTCTTCATTCGATTACTGTAAATCAGTGCAATGATAAAATGGTAGTGTTCATTGTTGCTCAATTTGTTAGGGACGAGCTGGGCTTTTGACTCTGTTAGACTTTGTAGATGTGATTGAACACATACTTCGCCTATACAGTGAATTCCGAGTGCCTACTTCTCCTCCCAGAGAAACCTGGTACCAGTTTAGCAAGCCCGGAGAAGTTAAAAGGTTGATCAGTTTGTGGCGAAAGATCGAACAAGAGACCAAATGCACTACAGGACACCCTACCCAGCGTTACACACCACCTAGATCAGTATTCGAGCAAAAACAACATTTACTACATTATAAGATTCAACTTATGATTTTCACATACATGTGGTTGTCCGTCTAAACGGGTTAAATCCGTATAATGCAGTTGTAATTTTATCATCGAAATCAATCAAACCTTCAGCTGCTCCTTCTCGTAATTGTATAATAACAAAAACACTACTCGTGTTCACGTTCTATCTGTATTTCAGCAATCCGTGCCAAATTTCCGTGTCTCGAAAATGTGATTTCAAACACGGATTGTATCAAATCTTGTACTCGACATCACGATGCCGTCACATCGCTCATCAACAATTTCCGACATCTTGCACTGAATGGTGATTCCACTCGTGCCGAACAATACTTAGCCCAAAGTTGCGAGTCAGTGTCAGATTTGTTCTCGAATATTCTAGAAGCCAAAGAGGAAATCGTTTCCTATTCTCCCACGAATGCCTCCTTGAGGCAATGTGGTATAGTTGATGATGTACTGTAGTGTTTTTTATACGAAAGAAGAATAGATACAATGTAGAGATCACTTTGGTGCAAGGTACAGCGAAGAAATAACATTGGGTGATTCATTTTTTACTATAAGAGGACGAAAACAGGAAAAACGAAAAAGATGATTCCATTCTTATTATAACACAAATGAATGATGGGATAATACATTACATTGACATATTTCTCTCTCTCTCTCTCTCTCTCAAGAAAGGAAGAAACAGGAAAATAAGCAAAAACTTTTCGTAGTCAGTTTTTTTCTATCTATTTCTAGTACTCTTGGCTGTTTTTATTTCTCTGATTGGTGACAATATTAAGGCAAAAAAGGCATGACATTTAGATGTCGGCACAACTCAATTACCAGTCCGACATAGGTCACCGTACTTTTCGTCGAGCCCTTATCATTGTGATCACGTACTTAATGGCATCCCACACAACTCGTTGCATACAAACAGATATTTTGGCTTGTAGCCTTTTGCTCCATAGATATTTTGATCATCCTTTTGTCATCTTGCATACCACTGCATGTTCTCCTCCGCCATCTCTTTCTGAAAGTGTCAGCTGTAGAAATGATCCGATTTTTACGTGAGTGCTACAACACAAATTTCTTCTGAACTAAAACATCAGTTTGAGCGTTCAACAAACATATCGTTTACCTTCTTTGACAGCGGTTTGCTAGAAAAGAAACTCCCCGAGTGTTACTTTATTACCAGCAATCATTTTCCTCCTTTCATTCTCCAAGTTGTCATTAATTCGCCTTAAACGTTACGCTACAATTAGAATTGACTGCATCAGAAAGGTATGGATTTTAGAGATGTGGTGTCAACTTTGATGTTTCTCATATTCAGGTTCGTTCTTTTTCCATTTCATATGACGTGACATCACGTATCATATTGATCCCAGCACTTCTTTAATTCGTTTCGTTTCCGACCTCGTGCATCAGCCGTGAAGGCCTTCGGATGTAACGTGTGGATTCGGTTGCTGCTTGAAGCTTTTTGGTCTTCTTCATGAATGTCACTATTTTCTGGTAAAGCAGGTACCTCATGTAATCCTAAGATGGCCGTGCTAGGGGCTTCCTAGTTAATGTGGATCTGAGGAAGTCCACTGGGCAAGCCTGGTACCAATTCAGCGACTCCGGAGAGATGCGAGGACTCGTTAATCTAGGCTGGATCAAACTAGCACCGGCGTATATTGAACGGCATACTACAGTATCAGCGCCCCAGTTTGTTGCCCTTCATCCGTGGAATCCTTCATACATGATGATCTCATGGTGTGCACAAAAGTTGCCTCAAATCCAGTCAGAAGGGATGGAGTGAAATAGATCTGGAAATTAAAAATTAAGCGAGGTTTGATAAGGAACAGCTGACTAGTCACTCCTACTAGAGGCTCAAAAGTCCATTTACTCTCTTTCTCTCTTTCGCTCTCTCTCACTCATCACTCGTCGTTTCTTCAGATCGATTATTGTTGAACAAAGAACAAACTCTAGATTAGGAGACACTCCAAGGAAATTACTATGATTCTTTAGATTCTTTGACAGCTCTCTTAGTAACTGACTCCTGCGTTAACGAAAGTGCAAGCTATACTACACCTATCACATATCATGAATCGGCCGCCCTTACCCAAAACCGCTACCTTGTGTGATTAACACCAGATTTGATCACCAACGATCATAGTGTAGAGGGTTCAGGTGCTGTGTAACTGTTGATTACTCTCTACGATATCCTGTAGGATAAATGCAGATGGGCTACAAAATTCTCAAACGCTTTTTTCCAAACATCTAGATAACTATCGTGAAACCTCAACTGGATCCTTTTAAAAAATAAGTTTTTTTTGGGACTAACCAAAACAACTTTATCTTTGCTAAAGCATTTTAACAGTGATCCATCCACTCATTCTTCTTTAAGTAGTAAAGTTACAACTATGTATAGCGTAAATGCTATCCACTGAATATGTTGCCAGAGAAAAATTCTTCCCAAATTTCTGTTTGTAAGTTGGTCTAGAGTTATAAAAAATACAGAAACAAAATTGTAAATGGCATGGATAACAAGAAATATTCAATACAATCATTATAGATATGTGACATGCACGCTACACTGTGATGTGCCGGCGATCGCTAGTCGCTGCGATTTCGTCACAGCAAATCTCGTCATCGACCTTACACGACGTTCTTTTGCCAGTATGGAAAAGATGGCACTTGACATGAACGTAATTAGCAGGTCAGTAAAGTCCTCGTATTAATCACGACCCAAGTAACAGAACGCGAGTTTCGCCATTGTTGTGATTCCTTGCGATTCATCGCGATAGACAGAGATGATGGTTTATGATAAATCGATGTAATGTCAGCGGTATATAAAAACGCGTAATGAAATTTAGCATTTAATAATGCACTCATTCGTAATATGACACTAACATCTAACTGATAGATTTCAATTTTAAGCGCCTAGAATCGCTAAAAACAATGACATTAGCTAATCAAAGCGCAGTATTTAGGCTTAAGTTATGTCACATAAAAAGCAGGATTGGAACTATCTAAACTATTTCGAACTTCCTATTTACTGCCTATTCTTTTTCCTATCAGGGCATCAGGGTATTATAAAGGCGCTTGTGACGCAGTGGTTGGAGGCGCCATTGCGATACACACGTGGAGTCGATCCCCGTGCCCATGGCCCACCAAGCCTTCCTTCCCTCTGGGGTCTGCAAATTGGCACCAGACTTGTCTGGGAGGATAGCTGCGCTGGCTCGATACATCGGTAGGCCACCGCGAGTCATTGTAAAAGGCCAGATATGCATTCAATCACCTTCAACGATACTTAATGAATTCGAATGCATGGCGCATCCCTCTGGGATTTATCAACGCCGAGAGCTTTATCCTTTTTTTATCAGGGTATTATGTGAAATACAACCACTGCTGACAGATTCACAAAACTAGGATCCCAGACCATCTTGGAATCCGCGATTAGCCTTTTAGTAGCTCGCGGGCTACCCACTGCCTCGGGCTACCATCGAGGTCTTTGTTTTGTCTTTTCTCTCTGCCAGTTTTTCACCCTAGCGGTGCTATCAAAAATCATTCGCCAACGTGGATGAATTGGAGAGCAATCACGGGTTCGAAGCCCATCTATTGCTCCGAATGTGCAAATATCTCACCATTATTTTGGTTACCTAAGCTACATTAATGATTTCTGATGTCCTATGGAGAATCGGTCTTGGACTAAATCTCACAAAAACGATATTCATGAGGAACGGAATGGTTACGTATGTTCCATTCACGCTGAACGGAATGAATATCTCCGAATGCTCCAGTTACGTCTCCTTAGGTCGGAAAATCAACGAGATGAACAACTTAGCTTCAGAGTTGAGCAGAAGAAAAAACGACAACCGATGAACAAGAGCCGCTAGCGACTGGATTCCTCGGGATGTTAAACACACGGCAGGAAGACCACCGACCCGATGGTCAAAGTTCTTCACGAAAAGCCTAGGAGAAAGATATGATGCTCAACGAGTCCCTGGAGCGAGCTGAACACACTGGGCTACTCTTACAGGTAACAGGGAAAAATGGAAGATTTACTGGCGCCCGCTCGAGCCGACGATTAACGGGACGACAGGTGGTAAGGTGATATTGATATCCTAGTAACAGCATAGTTACTCATCTAGCAAATGATAACGTAACGTCTTGAGAGAGCCCTAGCACGGTTTCCGAGATGCCAAAAAAGAAGACCCTGCTCAACTAGCAAATGCCAGCTAAACGGAATTAGTGTAGATGTACGCTACGCTCGATTGTACGGAATGTACGCTCGATTCTCCGTGATTCGTGAAGACTTGATATCAAAGTGTTCAAGTAATTAAGTAAGCAGTACTGTAAGCGAAAAAACGAAGGTTTTGGGCCATATTGAACATGGCATATGGCTAGAATTGATTTCCACTGGTGCCCACGTATGACAGCCCACACGGTTCGTAGTGAATAATGTGGCAGCAGAAAATGAAAGACATGATGAACAAGGAGTTATGTAACAACAACTTGAGCTTCACCCTAACTATAAATTTGCTTTCTTCAGTACCTCATGATACAAGATTGTCTTTACTTTCCAGCAATAACTCTCACTTTTCTACGGCAGTTCAAGGCGCGAAATTCACGTTAGTGTAACATATGATCACCTCAGACACCTTGTATAAAAATGTTGTCATAGGAACTAAGAGGAATACTTCGAGTCAAGTCAAGCAATCCCTAATATCTTTCAGTTCAATTACGTTAGAGTAATTTATTGATTGGTTTCGCATACATTCGAAGGACAAACAACAATTATCTTTAATACATAACTTTTTGTTGCCTATTATTTTTTCATGGCAAGATAATAAATAGAAAAAGATGAAGCGCTCGGCGTTGATCAAAGCCTGAACGATGAGCCATGCATTCGACTACATTAAGCATTGTTGGCGGTGATTGAATGCATATCTGGCCTTTACAATGAATCGCAGTGGCCTGCCCATGTACTCAGCCAGTGCTGCTATTCTCTCAGACAAGTATGGTAACAATTTGTCGACCCCAAAGGGATGGAGGGCTAGGCGGACCACGGTCGCGAGGACCGATCCCATGTGTAATGCAGGGCGCCTCCGACCACTGCGCTACATACGCCTTTATGGTAAGGTCTTATGTGAAATATGATCAAAATGATGCTGAGATATTTGGAAAACCCCGACTTCAGCCCAGATTCGAAACGGCGAATGCCCTTTCCGGGACCCACGTGCTACCCACTGCACCACTAAGGTCCTTGCTATATTTAATATATTCGCGGAAACATGTATTTTCGGTGCCTGCCACATCGCACAACGCAATGTACTCTGGTGTAATGGTCAGACTCGTCCGAACGTTTTTGTAAATTATTAAGCGTCAAATATAGCTTTTCTCGAATCACGTCTGCCACATATACGGTAGCAGGCTATTGACCGAACATAAAAAGTATAGTAAGGAAGCTCTGTCCTACAAAATTGATCACTAAAATAGTGTGAACTGAGGCCAATTCATATCGATCAACCTGTCCCCAGCGTTTGAATTGAAATCAGCTCATGTTGCTGCGAATATGCTGAGCAAAATGCGAATATGTCTCTGTCTTCACAGTTCCAAACACCAAGAAAGTGCTAGGAAGCAATAAGGAAATAATTCACAGCGATGGAGATGTGGATGGTGGTGCACTAAAAAAGGTGTACCTTAGTGCAGTTTTTCCTGTTCATAAGTAATTCAATTGACTACCTTAAAGAATCAGCATCTGTCCTAGTTGAGGCGCTTCCTCACACTCGTCAGTCATTACAGCCACTAGCGTTTGGGTTATGGAGGAAAAACAACTTATTGCATTTCTATTACGTGGTATTTGTACTACGTCCTATCAGGTGGCCAGCTGTCTGCTCCGATATTAAGACCTACCGCCTACCGGCACCAGCCAATCCACCGAAGGAAATTGGTGTGGTCGCTCAAAGTCACGAACTTCTCGCAGGTGAGATCAATAATGTAGTATACTACTCAAAATTGCAGTTATTTAGAAGGTATTTTGGTAATGAACCAAAACCAAGATAATGCCTACTTAGGGGCAGATAAGACTCACCCCATAAATTGCAATTTCCTTCCGAATTTCCAGATTAATGCATCCCATCCGTACCAGTGGAAACTTTTATTAAAAAATTCATGGATGGTAGGAAGATGAAAGCCTCCTAAAGTTTAAAAATAGGAAAAAAAAGACAAACACAACGCCTGTCTTTACAAAGAAAGTATTAACTGATAGTCTTTCTACCCAAACTTTTAGAGCCTGACAATGCAACGTCCTCAGTGGTGAAAGCACTGAAGAAGAATACCGTCGCTGAAGGCATACCTGTACTCTTCCTTCTGGCGGTGACAGCCTTCTTCTAGCATGATTTCGACAATCACTGACAATCAGTGTGAAGAGAATCAATCTGTCTGTACCTTTATTGAAAAGAATCAATCTATCTGTATCTTTTTACTTGTCCATATGATATTATAAACGGGTACTTTTATCCATCAAAAAACATTTGATCATAGATTTAACCATCACGAAGGTGTCGTAACCTCGAGAAAACAGCAACAATTTTAAACGAAACCTCATAAACACTACTACAGACATGAGCATCAGGTCTCAATTCCACAAAATTGAGCTTAACTGGCACACATAATGATCGATAAAAATAAGGTAATCTACTAAAACAATTTAAATGCATTACATTAATTGCTTCCCTCAAAACTACTAGCGTCGACATTTTCGTATTTACCTCTCATTCTACATCGATGAGACAAAATCACAGTGGCTTTCTCAAATCTAAGTGTGAGACAGAACTGCTCAAAACTAACAAAAAACATGAACATGTATTATTATATCCCTGTGGTTGCTTACAATTGAACTATCAACTTTCTATTAATAAAAGGAGGGTTTAAGTTGCTAGATCGAAATCGCGCTTACATTTAGCCGCACGGCTGTATGCATAGAAAAATATCACCGATAATACATTGTACAAAAATTCAAAAACAAAAAGAAAAATTGCAAAGTAACAACTAACAGAAAGAAGAAAGAAAAACTGCTGGTAATACGATACATACATAGGGAAGAAACAATAACAACCAAATCTCATTCTAAATCAAGAGCCTTTGCTTTAAGGACAGCAGGAGCTGAACTTGGTGGTAAAACTCGAATATCGGTTACTATAGCTGTAACGAGGTCTGGCGGAACTGGCTCGGTAGATTCTCGTGTCAGGAGGGCAACTCGACCGTAGGATTGCACCTGGCGTCGTAAAAAATACCAACGAAAAATCAACGTTATTTGTTGAATTTCGTACCAAAAGAACAAACAGCTTCAAAAACAATCTTGGATAAAATAGTCAGCAGCTAAAATACTTACTTCATACTTGAACGGCCATCTTCACTAGTTGTGCGGGTCCCAGCATAATCACCATTTTCGGGAGGTTTGCTGGTTAAGCCATTGTGGATCCCTGGAATCCCAAGGACAGCCTGGTCAAAATCTGCCCCAGCCCGTCACCACCACAGGCAGTTGCAGCCCTTGTGGATCAGAGGGAGATTTGCCACCATGCGACAATGATACCAGGATGGTGGTGGATTCTGGTATTGGTTAACTCTTATCTAAGTTTCCTGTTGGAAACGCCGGACTCCTTCTTAGCTTGGGAGACCCTACCGAAGGGGCGAATCCCCCACTGTACATCACAGCACGACACCCAGGAACACCTCCCAGCTACGATGAGGCTGTAGACCGTTAGGAGGGCAGTTAAAATAACTTGAAATATGTTGGCTTCGAAACATTTAACATGTGAATGAGAAGAATATATGATCAGTATGATGCTGAGATATTTGCAAAACTTGGACCCCAGGACAAACTGAACAGCGATTACCCTTTCCAGAGATCCAAACTATTATAAGCTATGATTAAAAATCCAAGCAATGTAATAATACCAAATTAGTACACACAGGCTATGAAGATCACCACTACAGGAATAAAATATTGTCACAAACAACTGAAAACATTAAATTATAATGTTCCTACCTTGTCCACAAATTTCAACGTTTGAGATACGACGACCACAGGAATATTGAATGCTTTCGCAGCTAGAGCTACAAGTATGCTGCCCTTAGGTGCAATTATACAGCCATTGGATAATACAGCAGAACAACCGAGGATAACCATTGAACCCTACAAGAATGTTTTAAACAATGAATTTGATTAAACGGTCTCATTCATGGTAAGAATAAAGTGCATACTATGACAAGTGGAAATGTTGGACCGAGTTGAAATAGAAAGATAAAGGATAAAGCTCTCAGTGATAATCAATCCCTAAAGGATGCGCCATGCATTCGACGTCATTAAGCGTTGTTTGAGGTGATTAATTGCATATCTAGCCTTTAAAATGACTCGCAGTGGCCTATCAATGCATCGAGCCAGTGCTGCTATCATCCCAAACAGGTCTGGTACCAATTTGCCAAACCCGGAGAGATGAAAAGCTTGGTGGACCTAGGACGCTGTATCAATCCCGTGTGTATCTAACCACTTCGATATACGTGCCCCTAAAAATATTCCTGACTCCGTTCTTCTTCAAGAAAACAGAAGTTCATGTGTTGGCTGGGAACCACAAATTTGGTTTTCATTATGCTATTTATGTCACCATTTCAAGTACAGTGGTTTAAGGAAGGACTCAACCGTAGCATGGTCGACACTGTAAATATAAAAGGATATCACTTCGTTTTTATAACCTCCATGGTTTTACATGGTAATGGATTGCGGCTATGTCATGAGATGAAGGTCGAGAATTTAGTGAACTGGTTTCCTCAAAACTAGGCAACTGTCAGTCTAGTGTTTCAAACGATTTCAACCTCTTTGCAGACCAATATTACTCCAACATTACCATTTGTTCGGGCTGAACGACGAAGGTTGCCTACGTGACGATAATTATCGCTACGAGGCATCCAGCAAAAATGAAATCTACCGTCCTGGTTGGGAAGCGTTGCGCTAATAGTAGTCTGCTCAGCTTGTAATCGAGAATTCTGATCCCCTGCTCTCCATAACGGAGACCGAGTTATGGAGACTAATTGTAAGAATCATAGCAAAATTAAGTGAAACACACGTTTTTCATAGCCGCTCCGATGGAGTTGAGGTCTGTGTATCGACATCGAATTCCTCGTTTAGTGAATGAATAGACGTGACGCAATCCTGAGAATACGACACAACTATGGTCAATTTATGAGAAAGTTTTGCATAAACGGAAGAATGAAAGGCTCTAGATGATGGCGGTATGTGAAAAATAAACACCTCTGCCCGCCATTTCCTCATCAACTACTGTGAAAATTGCTTGAAAGTTCTTGTCTACAGAATCAAGTAGCACTTTGTTGACCAGTGGGCACCTAAAAAGTCTACTTGTACTACCAGACAACAAGAATTGTTTCCTATTCATCAAACTTCATGTTCAAATTTGTCTGAAATTTGCAGCTCTTCATGTAATACTGTTGAAAAAAGATCTCAACCAGATAATATAATCATCACAAGTAACAGATATGCATCCTTTCTTTGTAAAGTGGTGAGAAATGATTACCAGCTGTATGTTATGACCTTCGGAGACGTTTTCATCTTTCCTAAGAGATAGTCCGAAATGGCACGATAGGCGCTACTAAAATTTTCCTCTTCACAATCTATCAGCCATTTACTAATGTGTTCAATCGTCTGAAAACTTAAACCTTAGTTATGAATAAAAACGAAAACAAACCACAAGAAATATAACAGGATTAATATGTTCCATCGTCAACCTCTAGGAGTTAGACAATACATTACTTCTAAACACTTCATTTGTAGACTTATAATAAGCGCAGAGATAAACATTTTCCGAACGGCCCACATCCTAATACTGGCGAGAATACACGTTAACTATGATGCTCCCCAGATCAATCCAGTTGATGGGTGATTGCTGATAGCACCTATAGGTCAATAACATGGCCAAGGGAAAGGCGTAACGAAGCACTTGCATGGTGCGATGGTAAACGCGTTAGCTACCGGAAAGGGTAATAGCGCATTCATTCCCCACCGCACACACTAGCTTTCCGGAGTTTTGCAAATATCTCAGCATCATTATGGTTATTTTCCGGGCAGGTTAGATACTAATCCTGACGAGATTACACGTCAGCTTTGATGTAAACAGGCAATTTATCTCAAAGGGAATACTGGATATGGATTCTTCTTTGAAAAACGATGCAAATGTTAAGCGATTCCCCGACATCTCCCATTCATTCACTATTTATGAGCTCTGTGGTTATGATTCCACCTTTAGACTTATAGCAGGTCAACACATAGATAAAAGTACTCTGTAAACATAAATTCGACACCAATTCGTCTATTTTAAACAAATGGAAAGGTCAACGATCTGGGACCTCGGTTCAAATCAACAACCACTTAACACGAGTAGGGTCCCCATACTCCCGAAGCACCCATGTTTATCCCAACGTCATATTGACTATTCACTAAAGGCCAGTAATTTACTAACGAAAACAAGATGTTCATTCGACGAAATAATCCATGCTCACCTGCACATGACCATTTCCAACTACCGTCCCTAATTTCAAAATCTCTTTTTTTAACTGTCGCACTATATTTCCCAGAGGACCTGGAAGTGGCCAACGACCTAAATTGTAGATCTCGATTATGCCTCGAATTCTAAAAAAACTTAAATCGACTATGGTGACATTATTAGAAATGCTTCCGGCCTAACTAATTAAGATCCACCTTCTTGGGTAAGGTGAGCGATCTGCGGTCGAATGGCAATATCAAGATCATGGCCAGTTGAACTCGGATCACGATTCTCCTTTTGACGCTGTGCGGTCCAACCAGACAAGTACTAAAATAAAACTATTGAAACATGTAAGAAGGAGAGTGAAAGAGTTAATTTTAGAAAAAAAGACAAAACGCACTTCTTTGAAAGCCGCTATAAAACTGAGACATAATGTGTCAACTTCATCAATGATGTTCTGCTCACAACGTACAGACAAGTTGATAAATGCGGGATGAATGTGGGCAGCGGAAGAAGGAGCAAGAGAATTCGAGCACAGCAGTGGAGGAACTACAAAGAATAGATGTCATTTCTATTGAAATAGTGGCTATACATCATAACTACAAAGGTTTGCAAGGAAGCCTTTCTTCCTGAGCTCATTATGGCGCGTGTGGCGCAGTGGTCAGAGGCTCCCTGCAACACACACATAGAATCGATCCATGCACCGGTGGCCCTCCAAGCCTTCCATCCCTCCGGAGACGGCAAATTGGTACCAGACTTGTCTGAGAAGATAGCAGCACTGACTCGATACATCGGTAGGCTACCATGGGTCATTGAACAGGCCAGATATGCATTCAGTCACCTCAAACGATGACTAGTGAATTTGAATCCATGACGTATCCCTAAAGGAATGAACAACATGGAGAGCTTTATCCTCTTATTATATCAAAAGCAGACTACTAGATAACAAGGTTACTCTTAGACATTATGGAAAACTGACCCTTTCAAGAGCATCGAGGATGTAGTGAAGAGAACACGGAACACCCGACTCCGTGCCCATCTTTTGGATTCAACAGTACTTTCTACCCTAACGTATGCGTCAGAAACCTGGTCGCTGCGTAATCAGGACGAAAAGTCACTCAGCGTCATCGAACGCGCAGTCGAAAGGACGATGCTAGAAGTATCCCGTTATCATACAAGGAAGGGATGGGATCCGAAGCTCTGATCTGCGTCAACGATCAAAAATCAAAGATGCCGTTCTGTATGCCATATAGTCTAAGATAAGGTGGGTCGGGCACGTAATGCGCATGAATAACAACCGATGGACAAGAGCCGTTAGTGACGAGATTCCTCGCGATGTTAAACGCACTGCAGGAAGACCACCGACTCGATGGTCAGAGCTCGAGTCACTCGACGATCAACGGGACTACAGGCGACAGGTGATACAGGTGACCCTATACCTTAATTGATGAAGTTTAGAAAAGACGTAGGCAATCTGAGGAAAGGATCCAAGAGTGTAAACGTATTATAAAGGTAATTATAAGATGTAAAACAAACACTCTAATCTAAACTATGCCCCCCCCCCCCCCCCCCTCCCAGTAACCTCAAAAGGAATTTCAAGAAAACTTAGGAGTTTGTCTTGATTGGAATTAAACTTTTGGAATTAAACTTGATTGGAAAGACTGATTTGAAACAAAAAAAGCTTAGAATTCGTCAATGCACCAAATCTCCATAACTTAAGTGTGCGAACGTAACTAGTTGGTTAGCGTTGGCAGTTATAACGATTGCATCATACCACATCTGCAATGTTAACGACAGCAGTCACAATAATACTGTAATAATATAGTAGCAAGATGTACCGAAAAATAATAATAATAGTAATAATGATGAAAATAACAATAACAGTGACAACAATAAAGGATAAAGGTCAAAACTCTCGGCAGTGACCAATCTCTGACGGTGAGCTATGCATTCGACTTCATTAAGCATCGTTGGAAGCGACTAAATGCATATCTGGTCTTTACAATAACTCGCGATGGCCTACCGATATATCCAGCTAGTGCTGCTATCCTCCGAGAGAAGTCTGGTATCAATTTGCCGACCCCGGACAGACGAAGAGCTTAGTGAAGTTTGGGCGCAGTGATCGATCCTATGTGTATTGCAGGGCACGGCCGACCACTGCGACCACTACACGCGCCTTTGTGACAACAATAATAACAATAATAGTTAATAAAGGTAAAAACTGACAAAAATTGTTGGTATAACGACAGTGAAAATAACTAACATTGGTAAAGGTAATCCTGAACAATATGAATAGAATAATACAATAATGAATAGAAAAAAAACACAAAAAAACAATAATATTAGATGTTTATCCTTCCCAGAACTTTACACCAAGTCAACTCAACGTTGCAACCAACCCACCTGTAGCCACTTAAAACAAAACAGGTGACATCAAACTGTGAGGTCGAAAGAATAAAACAACAAAAGTGCCTTTACTAAAAGTGGAGAAAATCTGAGAACCACCCTTCAACAAAGCATCCAGCAAATGCATTCAACTGCTAGTCTGAAAAATACTCACCATCGCAAATCACACTTTCCTCTGAAGTGGACTTCACAATGTCGTTGGATAAATCTTAAATACAATTTTTTTACTAAATACAAAGCGACTAAGAAATGACGCCAAAGCAGCAAACAGAAAAATGATGAAACTTAAATCATAGAAGTAAAGAAGCTAAACCCACCAAATTTTACCTCTCCTGCTGCGTGATGCTTGCCATCGACACGCAACGCTGACTTTGCAGCTGGGATATTCTGTGAAAACTCGTGTCAGATATTATGCTAATAATCAATACGTATTTAAATTTTTGAGATCACACGGAGCTGATAAATACATTTATCTGGCTAACGTTTCGACGTCTTCGTCTTCATCAGAGCCGATGGTCCGAGTCGATGGTTCACAGCTCTTCGTATTCTCGATGTAGCGCCTTTGTCGTATCAAGACGGATCTTCTTCAGTAAATCACCGCTCGAAGTAGCACAGTAGGTTACAGAAGGCGTCACCGCCATTAGTACTTTTAATTAATGCATAAGATTTAGTTCGAGCTATGTTCCACCGGAGAGGATCCGCCTCTGCATGACACCTCGGGAATACGAACAACTGTGGACCATCGACTCGAATCATCGGATCTGATGAAGACGAATATGTCGAAACGTTAACCGAATAAATTTGTTTATCAACCTCGTGTAGGCTCAACAATTTAAATACGTATTGACTATTTTGCAACCGAGGTTAAATGAGGGTCGGTTTGAAAATTGCTACCCTAGTAATTTACAAAAAAAAGATTTTGAATCAATAATATTCACAATCAAGGTCTCAGAAAACTACTGGGCAAACGAGTGAGGTCACTATGCGGAAGAAAGGACGAGAAGAATACAACTACCTGTCTGTGATGATTAAGAGCGCTATTTGATGATGTCACTTGAGATGTTGTGGACTCTGGTAGAGAATTTGTCGCTTTACTTTTCTCTTGGTGTCTTGCTGCATTACCAACAACAGCTGCTTTCTTTGCTGCGGCCATCTCCGCTAAAGTACAAGAATGGACCACGACGGTCAAGAAGAAAGTACGATTACGTCTGTCTTATAGCATAGGAAGCACATAAGCCTCAACATTTAAAGAGGGAGAGAGAGAGAAAGAAAGAGAAAGAGAGAAAGAGAGAGAGGAAGGCGAAACGAAGGTGTCGCATGGCGTGGTTGTGAACGCGCTGGCTCCCCGAAAGAGTAATAGCGCGTTCGGCCCCACCGCGGATACCAGCGGTCCGGAGTTTTGCAAATATCTCAGTAACATTACGATTATAGTACAACGTTTATTTAAAAAAAACTATGTGTCAAACTAGCCTCTTGCCTTCTTTTCAGCCGCTTTGTTAGCTCTCTGTGCTCTAATTTCTTCAGCAGTTTTGGACTATAAAAGAAGTATGAACTAATTAACAATTAAAGACGGAAACAAAAGAAATAAAACAAGTAGTAAATAGTAAACAAAGAAACGATGCCTGTAAATAGTAAACAAAGAAACGATGCCTGCCTGTAGATCCGAATTGATGGGAGAGATCACGTTGTCTTTCGCCTTTTGCTTGGCTTTCGTCTCTTCAGTACGTTGAGATGTACTGCCATCGATTTGCAGTTCCTTCATACCTTGTGCCAAATCGTTTGCCACTGTTTTTGTTCCGTCTTCATTCATAACAGAAGTCGAAGCTTCAAGTTCTGCTGCTCCAAGAACATTACCTATTTTTTGGATTACCACAGCAAGCTTATTAACCGACACCTGGAATGCGCCACTGTGCTAAGGGAAACACTGACTACGACTTGATTCCATGTGAATCCACATCGCAAAAGAATCGAATTATCTAGCTGGACTTTAGGACTTTACTAATTTTGGTGCTCAATGGCAAATATTTGTGATATTAAACATGATGAGGCAAGGATAAGGAGATAAGAACAATTTCAAAAACTTAGTAAGACTTAAAGTAAAATCTATCTAGCACTGAAAACGATCCGACTATATATTAAAAGTCCATGAACATGTTAGCGTGTTAAGAAGAAATGACGGCTTATTAGCAGGACAAACTAATAACACCACTCAAATAATCAAAACTGTGAAAACCTCCCGACGGTTTACAACCTAATCGTGCCTGGGAGGTGTTCATGGGTGTCGGACTGCGATGTACAGCGGAAGATTCATCCCCTCACCAGGGTCTCCTAGTCTGAAAAAGAATCCGAGTCTTCCATTTGGAAGCCCAGTTAAGAGTAAACCAATACCAGGATCCACCACTGTCCTGGTTGGTATCAAATTAGTCGCATGGTGGCAAATCTACCTCTGATGAGGTGAATGCCTGCGATGGTGATGACCTGGGGCAGACTTTGGCTAGGCTGACCTCGGGACTGCAGGGAACCACAACAGCTTAACCAGCAAAACTAGGAAAAAATGGAAATTATGCCGAGGCGAGCATAACCAGTGTAGACGGGCCATCCAAGTATACAAGTAAGGAAGTAAATTGAGAAATCGCCTAAGTAGACGTACAATGCAAGAACCCTTCCTCAGCCATAGTCTAGCGCTAGAGATATTGCTTCTCCTCTAAGGCTGACCTACAGAGATTCTACACCAACACCTCAATAATATGTTAACTTGTAACTCAGAAGATATCTAAGATCTAGATTTCTAACGAAAAGGTTTCTTTACTTCATAACTATATAAGTGACAATGAACATTTACTGATATTTTACCATGGTATTCAAAGTAGTAACCCACCTTAAGCTGGCCTACGGGATCATAAGTCTCTGCGTCAGCACTGTGTACGAGGTTTACGGTAGGATGAGATGCCATGATGACAATCTACAAGAGGCCAATTAATTTTCCGGTCCTTTTAATCTATTCTTCATGAAGTAAGAAGAAATTAGTACACATCTGTTCAATGTCTTTCAGACTATCGACAGCTGCTGGTAGTACAATATTAATGTAAGAGCCTACTAAGAATAAAAGTTCGAAACACTTGATACGACGCTCACACTACACCAATCCCCTTCCCAAAAATAAAGAGATCAGTTCAAGACCCTGACAAGAAGGATTTCAGTAAATGGACAGGATGACTGACTATAGAAAAGTGCTTTGGTCTTGCACGCTTCTATGTTGAAAATAGGATTCTGAATTATGGGGTACTGTATAATCGCTTTAGTGTCTCCCTAAGTCACAATGACGCAAGTGACGCAAAATTGCAAATAAAGCGCGTTTGGAGTTGGTGTGGGCATCCCCATGACCGCTACATTTCACATTTGGATTCCTGGATCTTCGACTTCGTTTTTAAGGTGAAGTAACTTTTTTCCGTTTGTTTTAGTTTTCTGGGCGGTGCCTAAGAATCCTAAAACGATGATCGAGCCAGGTCTCAGTGTGTCTTCGTCAAGATGTACTTCCATTAGCCGTTATGCTCACTACATTGATTGATGTGTAACAAATCCATACGTCAACTATCCTGACCTGAGTTTTGTTCCTTTTAGGCTTTTATTTCCACTTCGTTAGTATTTATCTCAAGTCCTATTGCTGCACGCTGGTGCCACTCCACAGTGGCGTATTTTCTAAAGTCCAAAGAATTGACTGACCGAAACGACAAGGTAGCGAACCTCGGTGGAACACCTGAGAAGCGCCGCAGTCGTAGAACTGGCGTAAGTTTCTTTTTTTTAGCTTGTGAAGTAGTTCTGCTGGAATCCATTCATCTGTAAAAATCTAGCCTTTGTTTTCCAGATGGTCTAGTTGCAGTGGATTGGATGGATTGATGAAAACAGTAAAAGGGAAAGAACTTGGCCGGATTCTCGTTCACACACACACCCACACACACACATTCGTTTCTGTTTCTTGAAGGGACTACGGGAAATCTTTGTTTGACCATATAGATGTTAAGTATATCACTCTGTCATTGTTAATCGTAAAGTTGTATATTAAATCCATGGATAGTTGAAAGCGCTAAGGTTATTAACCCAGGTGACTTGGTATGGCGCGAAAATAAGCCCACTTGAACGTTCCTTTTTCAATGCTGATGACGTTCACCACCTCCATAAGTTTCTGACCGCTTTGGTAACTTCTTATTGAGAATTGTATGAGACATTTGGCACTTCGTCGTGAAATTGTCATTTGTGTTTGCCTTTGGTGGCTATAAACGAAATGGTATAAAGGTGTCTGAACATTATTCTTTACTCACAGGATCGTAGTAGATATGTGAAGTCAGGCTGGGAAGGCTATCTTTTATGTGTTGAGGTCGACGTCAATGAATAAACGGTACTGTACACGTAGCGGGTACTAGTCATGTTGTACTGACATAGGTGTAATTGATCGAAACGAAGGGTTATTGGGAATCGTGGTCGTTGTTTATATCGTTGACGTTGAAGGAACACATGAATGATAGACAATACAAGCGAAATGCATTGAAAACATTCAGTCCTTATGAGTTCCTTTAGTCTTCGGTTGTGAGTCCTAAAAGATAAGGTTTTCATGATTTTAGGAACCAGCCAGTTCAACTCGGTCACCACTATGTCTTCATCTGACTATTCCTCTTCTGACGACGATGAGAAACCAAAGGTGAGGTCTCAGGTGATCTGTTCGGTACATGATTGAAACAGAATCCTATCCACTTTGGATTTATTTCTTGATGATCCTTGTAGGCCCGTCGTTCTTCAATGTCTAAACTGGTACATGTTTGCCATTTCAGGTTTCCGACGACTCGAATACTTCGAAGAAGCATAGGAAACGCCCTACTCGTAATACAAGCAATAAGGCGATCATAGAAAGTGCTGGCGAGTTTTGTGTGCTATAAGGCTGTTGAATTATCTTTGTCCTCCCTCAGAGTTTGAGATCTTAATCTTTTTGGTGTTAGAAGGTTGTTGTCTTCTAGGTTCTTCGGATTCGGAAAACTCGGATTCGGATTGCGGAACAGCTAGTGAAGGTGGTCGCGCTGCCAGTAGCCGAAAAAGGAAAGGATCTTCCTCTTTGTATAAGAAAGGCAGTTCTTATCACTATGCAAAGAAAAAGAGAGCTGTTAGCGAAGAAAGTGATCGGGTACATGAGAAGATTTGCTATTTGTTTTGATTTTGATTTGATTTTTGGCATGACTTTATTCTATTCTATTCTGATGTTTCGTGTAATTCAACTGCGATCTTTAAGGGCGAGATGGACGATGACCTTTTCGCCGATGAGGAAGATAGAAGGCAAGTAATGGCAATGAATGAGAAAGACAGGGAACAGGAGATATTTAATCGCATGGAACAACAAGAAATGAGGCGAACAAGGTCTGTTGTGAAAGGTTTTTTTTTGCAATGATACCTTCTTTTCTTAATTAGCAGCTCGTACGTTTTTATTTCTATGCCCACGGTTCCATGCAGGCTTTCAGTACTTGTTATCATACAGCACCTCAATGCTTACTTGGATGGCCCTTCTTCAGTGGTTGTGCCGGGCCCTGCATAATTTCCATTTTTGTAGTTTCGCTGGTTTAGCTATTGTGGTTCGCTGGAGTGCGAGGTCAGCCTAGCTAAATTCTGCCCCAGGTCGTAATCACTCAAAGCAGTCGCTGCCCTTGTGGATCAGAGGCAGATTTGCCACCGCGCGACTAATTTAATACCATGACGGCGGTGGGTTTTGGTATTAGTTTACTCCTAACTAGGCTTCCTGATTGAAATGCCGGACTACTTAGTTTGGGAGACCCTGCTGGGGGGGAGGAGGAGGAAGGGGGAAGGAAGGTGGAAGGGGGTGAATCCTCACTGTAGGTCGCAGCCCAACAGCCAGGAACACCTCCCAGAAACGATGAGGCGATAAACCGTTGGGAGGACAGCACCTCCATACCGTCCTAATTTCAGGAGACATTGTAGTTGGTTTTGTGTAACAAAGTTGAAGACGTCTGTAGCGCAGTGATCGGAGGTGCACTGCAATACGCATAGAATCGAACCACGCGCTACAGGCTCACCAAGCCTTCTATCTCTCAGAGGTCGGCAAATTGGTATCAGATTTGTCTTGAAAGTTAGCAGCACTGGCTGGATAGATCGGTACCATTGCGAGTCATTGTAAAGGCCAGATTCACATTCGATCACCTCCAACGATGCTCAATGAAGTCGGAATTCATGGCGCTTCTCTCAAGGACTAATCAGTGCCGAGAGCTTTATCCTTTCATCCTTTAACAACATTGAGCATTTCATCATTGTTATTTGCTCTCACTTTTGTTAAGTGATATCTTTTTTTACTAGGAAGCAAATCGAGGAGAAATTAGCCGCTGCAAAGAATGCTTCTGCTACAGGAGTTGATAAGAAGGAGAAGAAAGAAAAACGTCGTCGTGAAGAAAGAAAGCGTATCAACGAGAGTGATAGTGATGATGGTTTGTTTGTGTGTCGTTCACAAGTGCATTTCATGGATTTGGTATTTTAGTTTAACCTCTGAGTTTTTAAGATTTTTCCTGGTCTTACCCTATCTGATCTTTTTCATTGAATTTAAAAGTGAGGTTAAGGTAAGCTTTCATCATCGCGCACGCACCCTTCATCGACTAAATCTAAAGCTGGTGCTGGGTCAGATTCTGAATCGGAAGCAGATATGGCGTTCCATCGCCCTTCTGAAGTCCACAAAAAGGCTACACAAAAGAATGCAATGGCAGACCTACTTGCTAAACGAAAGGATAAAGAAAATAAAGCTGGTAAAATTTCTTTGCTTTTAAATTGTTTCATGTCTACAAATTTTCATTACAGCCAAAAAAGCCGCTTTATCAATCGACGCTGTGTTTGGGAAGGATCATAGCGATGGCTCATCATCATCATCATCATCATCATCTTCATCAGCCTCTTCTCGATCATCATCCCGTGGTTCATCACCTAGGAGAGACGGAGGAAGTGAAGATGATGAATCGAAAAAAGAGACTAGAAGAGAAGTACGATTAAGTCCTAACGATATTCCTGCTCGCCCTAATGGTTTTTCTTCTAGGTAGAAACGGTTTCGGAGTTGTCCAGAGCTCGAATTTCACGATACAAAATTGCCAAGATCGTCTATGCACCGTTCTTCGCTAAAACTGTTATTGGGTGTTTTGTACGAGTAGGACTAGGAGGATATGGTGGAAAGTCGAAATATAGGGTATGAACACAATGGTTTTTTTTTAAAATGATTCCTAGTGACGTTGATGGGGATGCAGTTTACACTTTTAAGGGAATGTGGGGAAATTTTACTCTCATAACTAACTTATTATGAATTTTGCTACTTGGTATTTCAAGATTAACGCACGAGAATATTCTTGAGGGCTTCAAAGGGTTTTTATTAGCTTCTGATCTGTTCCCCATAGTCTACGACTGCATCTCCAATCTTATTTGCTGAAGAATATTCGGTTCTACCCATGTAGTTAGACACCTATAGTGAGAATTTGGAAATTAGCAAATTTTAAAGTTTATTTCTGGGTAAGCTCACTCATTTTAATCGATTTTGGGTCAAGTGGTATTACTGTAATGCCTAATGATCGACCTGTGGTCGTTATGGTCGGATAAACATCAGTGAGTGTCATTATCAAAAAATATCAGTGCGGAGAAACCAAACATGTTTTCGAATTTACTGTAGAGAAGCCATTTTCCCCATTCGAATCTAAAACTACTTGTAAACGCAGAGAACAAAGTGCCGGTTATTTTTGCAATTTCTTATGGATGACTTGGAGCTGTTTCCTATTATTATTAAAAAGAAAATTATTGTTTGTTTTACATGGGCTTTTATAGGGTAGATAGTTCCATGTGGTGTTCTAGCGGATGTACCGGGAACGTGATCGATTATGGTTCTTGGGAACACCGAGTTTTTTGTTAAACAGTATTTCGTACTATGCCAAATTTAGCTTTCACAAGTTGTTGATGTTGTGGATACAAACCGAGTTTATACTTTCGAAAATAACAAGACCAACAAAGGCCTCAAACTTAGATATGGTACGCTCTCACATTTTGCATTTGATTCACCAATTATATCGCTTCAAAATTTTAGTGTCTCCTGTTTGTAGGAAGCGACGAACGAGTTTTCCGCATTGAATTTGTTTCAAACGCAGAGTTTGGGGAGGAGGAATTCTCCGAGTGGAGAAAAGTCACCAAGGAAGAGGTTAGGTGCCATATTTGTAACATGGATAGTAGTGCTATAATTTACGTGTTCTTAGCTTATTCATGGCATGGGGACAATTTTCTTGTTACTTTGAGTAGTTTTAAGCAGATCATCTGTTTTACTGGCTTTGTGGTCTTTTCTATATGTATTATTGCAGTGTGGCTCACTGCCTACAATAGATCATATCGAAAAGAAGGAAAGTGATATTAGGAAAGCGATGAACTTCAACTATACGGATGAGGTTATCGAATATGTAAGTAAACAGTTTTCCCGACTTGTAATTATTAAGATAAATACTTACTTATATACTTGGATAGTTTGTCCTCACTGGTTGTGTGGGACCCAGTACAATTTCTGTTTTTTTTCTTTTTAGAGTTTTGCTGATTAAGCCACTGTGGTTCCCTGGAGTGGCGGGGTCAGCCATGCCAAAATCAACCCCAGGTCGTCACCACTACAGACAGTTGCCACTCTTGTGGATCAGAAAGATTTGCCACCATGCTACTAGTTTGGTACCAGGACAGTTGCGTATCCTCGTGTTGGTTTGCTCTTAGCTGAGCTACCTGATGGAAAAACCGGACTCCTCAGATTGAGAGACCCTGCTGTGAGGATAAATCCCCTCGCTGTACATAGCAGCCATGCGCAGGAACACCTCTCAGCCACGATGAAGCGGTAAACCGTTGAGAGATACGGGGTATCAAGGTAAATACCAATAACAGTAAGCAGTTGCGTGGTAAACATCATACATAAGGGAAGTAATTTAATAAATTACATGAACTCTTTGATAACACGTAATGTAATTTCCAAGTGCTATATATGTATATGTATGCGTGTATATTATATATATAAGGCCGTAGTAGTTATTCAAACCTTTTATTATCACCTTTCGAGGTTTTATTTATTTTCCGGACCGTAATGTTCTAGATTGTTCGAGAAAAGAAGAAGTTTTCGGACAAGGTGAAGAACTTCGCTTTGACCAAAGGAGAACTCATAAAGCAAAAGGTATGCTTTATTTATAATTCACTATTACTTCGCTCTTCATCCTCGCCGTTTGGGTTTTAAACTGCCTATTTCTGTCAAAAATAATCTCCTGATTGCATTTTTACATAATGTTTCGATATCTGTAGTATCTGGATTTAATGCAGGTCACTCAGAGAGTTTCCCATAACCAAATTTTCTCATTCTTTTATGTTCCTAAATTGTTAAAATCCTACATGTGGAACGTTTTAAGTAACTTGTGAAAAATGATTTTGTCATTCTTACTTACTGCCTATTCTTTTTCTATGACAAGATATTATGCGAAATATAACCATAATGATGCCGAGATATCTTCAAAACTCCTGACCAATGGTGTCTGCGATGGGGATCGAACACGCTGTTACCCTTTCCGAGGGCTAACATGTTTACTACTATACCATGCGAGTCCTTCGTTTCGCCTTTCTCTCAGCCGTCTAAAATTAATTTCGTTCTACAAACCTAACTGAGAAATTTTTTGCATAACCTTAGTCTATCTTGGAATCAGAGCCCATCTGTATATCATTGCATTAATGTTCCTTGTGTGAGAAAAGAAAAGCTTTATGTTATATATTTTCGCATGAAACACACTGGCAAACTGAGTGATCAGAGCTACTCAAATTATAACTCCACTAACCCCAAGCCAACAAATTTTTTAAAGCTTTAATAAATGCCGTGGCATGCATATGGTTCATAAGCGGTCTATGGCGAATATGTTAGAGTATGAGACAATATTTTGAGTATTTCTCTGTGGCCGCCTCCTATCATTAGTATCGTACATTTCAAGTTTTCACCATGGTGAAGAAAGGGAGGGCAGCAGTAAAGAGTTAAGCCTAAGGCGTCTTTTTTTTCTTTCAACAGTGTTTGTATTGAGCCAAAACTGCGTTATATTAGCTGTGAATATTTTTACCGTTTTATATTTTAATACGTTCTTCATATTAATTGACATTTTGGCCCATAGTGAATTTTACTAACAAACCTGTGGTGAGGCTGGGCTTTTGACAACTGGTAGTAATTTTTCGATCATTGGCGTAGTTGAGGAGTTGAGAAAGCTACAGATTTGTAGGCTTTTTTATGTAGTGTTAATTCCATATGTAGCTTTTATAGAACATTCTGGTAGGTCTGTATTCATTTGGGATTGATATTTTCAGCAAAATAAAAACGAAGTTTGATTTTTTTCTTAAATCTACAACTCAAATCTCGCAACAAGCGCAGAGCCATACGATACGATAAAGGACATCATTGTTGCTTGCTGGCTAAGAATAAACTTTTCTAAATTGCTTTGGTGGGCTCTTGAAAGTCAGAATTTCATCTTGAAAATAACAAACTACCTTGCCTGTGATTGGCAAAGACCTGTTGATTTTATTAGTTTATAAATGGAGCTGTTAGCTCACTATGAATTGGGAGATTTTTGCTTAAAATTAAAACACTGCTTCATGAAAATTACATTTCATAATTTTTTATTATACTTTTGTTTAAAATTGAAATAATGTTCAAATAAAATTAGGCGGTCATTTTTCTCATGTCATCTGCATGAAAATCGATGCGTTTCGCGAATGTGTTAATTAAAATAAAAACTATTAGAGTCTATGTGTATTGCCGGTATAATACAGGTTTACATACACCAGCACTATGGGATTCGAATTTTCTAATTTTGTTAGCCTTTTTTCTATTTCTGCTTTGAGGCTCTTATCTTGTGCTACAAAGTGATTGAATTAGCCAGAAGGATTTCGTCCAGCAGTACACGATGGTATGCTGATGCAACATCAGTGCGAGCGATTGCCACATTTGGGTTAAAAATTTTGAAAGTTTGCCATATCAATGTTCTCTCACTTTTTTTTTTCGACGACTGGTCTTTGACCTCAACTCTGCGGAAGGATCCCAGCACTTCTTGCATTCAGTTCGTTTCCTTGCTTCCACCATCGACAAAGATCTGCCAACCTTTTGCTTGTGGATTCCGATTCCGCTACTGCTTGATGATTTTTCTTTTGTCTGAATATTGTTGAATGCCAGTCAACTCGATTTTCCCTGGTGTCCTGAGATAGCCGAGCAAGAGCGTTCCCACTTGGATTTCAGAGAGTGAATTTCCCCAGACGAGTCTAGTGTCAATTTCACGATCCTGGAAAGATGAAAAGCTTGGTGAACCTGGTGCGGGGTCGAACGATCACCGTGATCGTGATGAACGGCATCACTAGTACTGCGCTAGTAGTCCCCATTCTTAGATTTGTCTCTAAAAATTTAAAATAAATATATTGCAGAGAAATTATATATGTCCTCCAAACTATAACTAAGGTTGTACCAAGCTTGCATTGACACACATTCTAGTGGTTTTGATTTCTACTAACATTTTCGCGAAATACATGTACTTCTATGCATGCGATGCGAGAATAGTTAGACGCAGCCTCTTTTATATGCTCCTAAAGTCTTGAAGTGCACTAATTGTGAACGAAATTGTCGGTATTTGTCGAAAAATTTTGCAAAGGCCATGGATGTACGGGCTAGGCTACTCAATTAGTTTTTAACTTTCCATAATTTTTTTGGACCTCTCTGAAATTGTGTGTTTCTATTTCTTTAAGTTTATGCCTGATTCTAATCTACAATTTTACATGGCTGTCATCTGCTTTCAAAAAATCGCTATGAGATTTTAATGTGTAGTTTCGTCTGATTGCTACCACCACTGGTGGCGTTGTTGGTAAGTGGGGATAAAAGTCACGTTGCACTGTTTCGTGCTCATTAACCGGTTCGAGTTGTTTCCAGTGCGTTCATGTGAAGTTGCAAAACACGGTATCGATTACTAGAAGTAAACTATGAGAGAACAGATTTACTTTTAGTTCTCCGTGATTAGCAAAATTATAATAGCAGTGCATTGATTTTGATTATGAAAAAGTTTTGAAGGTGTTTACACCTTTAAATTGAGACAGACACTGATAGCGGTGGCAAAGCCGATAAACGAACTGGTTCTGATCTGACACCAAATACGACTTGATATTGCCATGCTTTTTTTCGTCCATGACGGTAGTACTCAACTATTAGTAAAATTCTATGGATGCCAAGGAATGTTGGAAGTTCCAATGAAAGGCAGTCTCATGTACCCTTAGTGAAGAAGACTGCGATATGTTTATTCGTAGAGATGGTGCATGTTTACGTAAGAGCTTAGCTTCGTTGAGGATATTACTAGTTGGTGATAACTGGTCTTAGGACGGGTGTCATGTTTTTTTTCTAGCTTAAGCTCTTTTTCTCATCCGAATGTTTCATAGTCCTTTTTTGTACTCATATTTTTGCAACTTTTCGTTACTGTTCGATATACTATACCGAGTTATTATGTTTTGGGCAAAACCTTCTCAGAGTCAATTCCGAAATGAAGCGTTTCCAAAATGGCTTCTATACAAGACTGTGTTCATGAGTATGAACTCTCTTTAATTGTAAAAAAAAAATTGTGCAGATACATCAAGATAACGCAGCAAACAGAAACGCGCCAGCACGTAGGAAACTGTTAGACGAGGTCTGGTGTGACAGTGATATACTAAATTTTCATGAAGTTTCGACTACTATATTTTTGGTCTACTAGAATCACAACATGAAAAAATATTCTTTGCTTAAATTGGCTTCTGACTAGACAACGCGGATGCGATTGTAGCTTATCCTTGTGATGGTTGTTCTCCAGAAGTGACCACCTTGATGCCAGGCTCATTTTCGCCTCTCCATGCTTTAAGCTTCAGAAAGGTTTCGATCGCAAAAATAATAGTAAGAGCAACGCATATTACCTGAAAAAAAAACAGTGTTTAACTAATCGAAAGATACAACACTAAAATGTTCTGAAACACCTCTTACCGCAGTCATAATGGCAGCACCTCGTCCATCTGTTCCCCAACTGGCTGACAAGTGAACCATTAACCAAATAGAAATGAAGTAAAAGAGTGTGTTTATCCCGTAGAAAATGAGCTCCTAAAAATAATAGGTTTATATTTGTGAACCATCGTCATTTTTTTCTTTCTGAAGTGTTGATCATTGATGAAACTGACCACAACAATAAGTCCTTCTCGCGTCGGTTCGTCACGAATGGTGAGATGTGGAAAACAAACGTAACCACAAAGCAAAGCTGACACGACTATCATCGTTTCAAAAGTGACATGCTCAGTCCATGCTGCTGTTGTAGATCGTCTGTCCGCACAGATGGCAAGTATGAATCCGACAAAGGCGAGGATCTGAGCATGAATTTTGTGGACTTCTGCTATTGCGATAGTACTATAAAGATTACTTCATTTCCGCCTTGAAACTGATCCGGGTTGACAAATATTCTATCACATGTTATAATAGCAACATCTTTTCTTCATTTTCAAAGGAGGTGAAATTTACCTCTTTTTTTCTCAGTTCTCGTAGCTGTACAACCTTTCTGGTTGGTTTACTTCCTAGTAAAAATATATTTCAATCTAGATACGTCATTGTCTTATTGGGTGTCTAAGTTAAGCATGTTAGCCTAACATACTCTCAGCTCCTCCATTGCGATCGTAATGCCAAGTCGCTGGCAAGTGTTACTTGATAAACAGCGATATATTTTTGTTGCTGCGCTTCGGTGTATTATCGATTTACGCAAAACATTGATAGGTTAAAACGAAACTTACGATTTCTGCGACTTTAAGTACACCAGGAATTGTAGGAATATAGCCGGTATTTAACTGCCCTTGCCGATTATTGGGAATGATTTGAATTTTGCTTGCCATGTGAAATTGCAGCTTTTTCTTCTTTTGAACAGGACTAAAATCATCCAGCGTAAATGTTAGTATCGAAGGATTTTCTCTCATTTCTGTGCGTTTATAGCGTACTATGTCAGACTGACCTTGCTTGTGCAGGTTTTGCAAAGCCATCGGAATGCTGGATTTCCTTGGCCGGCCCCAGATCAATGGTTGTTTGCGCTGGCTCCTCTTCGGAACGAAGCATCTGAATGGTGTGCCGCTTTAGTAATATTAGTGAAAAATTCAGCAAGGAAAGGTCTTACAGGGATGAGCGATTATTTATGACATGGCTGGAGAATGTGTTACAGAAATTTCTCTCGATGCAGTAAAATACGAGATAATATCTTCAGTGTACAAGTTTTCGACGTTCAAGAGTACCCAAAATTACAACGTAGAATAGGTGGAAGTCATTATGTTTATGAAAAGAGAAGAAATGCATCGGTTCGCTCGAATGGCTGCTACGCGTTTCAAAGGGTGTGGCTTTCAGTGAGAGACGATTCTTGCAGGTAGTGGTCAACGTAAATTTTGCAATAGATACTCCTTACATGAATCAGAAGTGCGTGAGTTATTAGTTACCCATAGGAACTCTCTACTAAGTATATTTTTAAACGAATAGATGTAATAGTGGCGGCTTGCATATACGACCAATTTTTGCTGAATCGATTGCAGTTCCTTCGAATAATGGTGTGACCGTCTTTGGATACAAGACGAGAACTGAAGTAAGCAAGAGAGAAGTGAAATGCGTAGAATAAAATCAATCAAATAGTGCACGATGTCATGACAAGTCTACCGGTTTTGAATGTTCCATAGTTATTTATGGGTTTAGTTTAAAACGCCTTTATTTTTAAAGGTAAAGTAAAAGTAGAGGGCTATTCGACGGAGAATTCAATGGAATCATTTATTTTAAACAGCGATAGACATGTCTATTTAATAAGTTGACTGTACTTTTATATTTTAACAGAGAAAAAATGCTCCAACTAATGAATGTGAAAAAAGAACCCGATTAAAAGAGCTATAAATGCGGGTTATTGGGCTGCGTTTACTTCGCGGTATTTATTGCTGGAGCTTCCAAATACAGTTGCAGGTAGACTTTTCGCACAGATGTTTACAGTATGGAAGTCTTAGACGAAGCGCTCATTAAATGGCTAAGTGCGGGTTTGTTGGAACTGCATGGAAAATGACTGACTGACTGACTGACTGACATCGTCGTCTCGCAGACGAATGCCCTTGAACCTCCGAGCGGCCAGGCGCCGATTGGTGAACGATCTTTTACTGCGGCGAGAGACGTTTACTTTCTATCTCTCTATAGTAAACGGCGTTGTGTATATATATATATATATATATATATATATATATGCATATGTGTATGTGTGTATGTGTAGGTGCCACTTGAATCGATATCCGTTGCAACGAAGTGTTCAGTTTTTTTTTTCAGTTTAAAAGTGAGATGTTCTAGTTGGGTAACTCTGTGGATTACTGTGTAGAAGGAAGGTCAGATTATATAATGGCCCACCAGCGCAGCGTGAATGAACTAACCATGATGGCAGTGGCTGTACCAAAACGTATCCGGTTACGCGTTTGTTCAACAGAGATCTGGTGGTATGACAGGACTGCAGAAACATGTAGGTGTGGAGTTATGGGTACGTGCGAATTAAAGACTTGTTTTGAAGGGTATTATTTCATGTTAAACAGTGTGAGATTCTTTGTGATTTAAGATTTTGGGAAATAATGGGACCTATTCTGAATATGAAGGCTGTTGGGTCGGTAGGCATAGCATGTGGAAATTAGCCTATAAGTATTACATAAGTTATCTTAACAGATATCTGAATGTGAATAGTTGCATAGCTGAGTTTCAGCTAATTTTCAAGCTGTTTTGTTTTAAAGCCGTTAAGCGGAAAGTAGTAGTGTGTAAAAAGTGTTGGTGTCTAGTGTTTTCTGTGAATGCTCCAAGTTGCCGTAAATATTTTGTTTGAAATAAGAACATTATGCCTTTTCACCAAGTGCGTCTCGGTGATGCCGTCGTTACGACGTACGATGACTGTGTCAGCTCCTGTCGTCATATTCTGGTTTAGGCGCTTCGCTACACCGAAGAGATGATCTGGAATGTTGTCATGTTGAAATTATTCAAGAAGACAAAGAAGTTACTGATTTGCATAGAATATAAAACAGTAGGAATTTTTATTAGGAGCTGTGTTTGACAGATTTTACAAAGCTAATGAAATTTTAGGTGAGATATCCTATTATAAGAGGGCGGGTAGCGCAGTGTTAGTGGTGCTGATCACCACGAACAAGATGCAGGTTCGGCTTCGCCCTAGGCTCAGCTGGCCTGTCATCCTTTTAGGGTCGGGAAATTGATATCAAACTTCTGTGGGAATAATTCGCTCTCTGTAAACGATTTTGGAACGCTCTAGTTTAGTTAACTCAGGACTCCAAGGGGACGATGTGAAATACCAACATAAGGGTGTTGAGATGTGAGCGAGACTCGGAATCTTAAGTGGGCCCTGGAACCACTGAGTTCAAAGCCCAACTGAGATTCCGAATTTTGCTCATATCTCAACGTCCTTGTCATTATATTACACATCGCACCCTGTCATGCAAAAATAAAAAGAATAGGCCATAAATGAAAGTTAAAACCCCAAGGAGAATCATCTTGGTCAGCATTTAACGACATCTTCGACCAAGAGAAAATGCTCAAGCAGCAAGAGAACCCGGACGGAAAAATTAAAAGGTCTTCATGGATGATGGACGAATGTGAAGAAACGAATCGAGTGCAGACAGAGCTGTGATCAGCACGATGTGAAAAGACGGGTGTCGTAAAGTGAAGAAGAAGCTGTAGTCTATTGGGCTTAGGAGCAGATATTTATAGAATTGAATTCTTCATAAATGGTTAAGCTTAGTTGTGTGATCGGGTTATGGGAAGCCAATGTAAGTATCCTGTGTATTAGTAGAGAGATACGTCGCGGTAGCCACATAGCGAACAGTAGGTAATTTGTCTACTGAACTAGTTATTGTGGTGTGTACGTGTAAGTCTTCTTCATTGGTTTTGTGTAGAACTACAATTATGTCCATTATTTCTTTAGAGAAAATATGGCAGTTATTTCTAGATCTCTCTTTACTTTTTTTCTCTTTTGGTAAGATTACATTAAAATACAGATGTTTTTCTTAAGACTCTATCTCTAAAAAGGTCGTCATTTAGAGTTAAATCCACGGGATTAGTTGGTCTTCATAACCTTTCTCCCTTAATTTTTGTGATCTCTGTTTCATTAGAGAAAATTGAAGCAAAAAAACCGTTGTTCGCGAGCATCGCTATGGAATGGCTTTCCTTTCTTTGGGAACTATGATTCATTTGATTATAAAGGAAGAAAAATATCGCTGGCGTCCTTATTATCGAATCATTCGTTTTCAAAACTCAGGAAAATGAAACCAACTAAGACCTAAACTATCCCAGGACTCCAGGGAGAGCAATTTGAAGGCAGTGAATCACTAAAGGAAAATAAGACTACCATGTTGAGTTTTTTATATTTCAAAGTTTAGAAGTACGTTTCTAGTCCATAACAGAGGAATTTGAAGCAAATAACTTTTACAGCAGTATCTATACATAGTATGGAAGTAAGAGTCGATTTAATGTGACTAATATCGATCGGTTTTAGTTGAAGCTTCTTATTTCCTTCCATTCCTTTCATATATTTCTCACATTCGTCACTATGTTGGTTTATCGATCATATTGGAAATAATATTGATTATTAGTATTGAGTGAGATTTTCTAAAATTTAGTGACGAATTACGTAATTACCAGTAAGTCGGAATTTACGAATTAATGAAAAAATGCTTAATGTAAACGGAAAGGTCAAGTGAATTAAGTAGTAAACTGAAACAAGGATTTAAGGCTAACAGAAACTTGTAAGAGTATGGAGCTTACAAGGATTCTGAGTTGGCTACTGTACGTTTTACGTTGAGTACTATCATAGCTCGTGCATATGAGCTTCAATGGTCTTTCAAGTTTTAACTGAGGTTGTAATACTTTCTATTCGTCCAATCGTGGACGCAATCACGTCCGAACTTCGAATGTCGTAAAAATCGGTTTAATTTTGCGCTAAAACTGCAAGATAATCGTCCATCCATTGTTACTTATAAGTTGATGGGACTATTATTCTTATCATGTAATATGGCTAGCCAGTATGGATTACACTTGCCATATGTTTTATCACTTGTTATGACGTGAATTAATAGATGGAATGAAATGTGATTCTAAGAGAGATCATCATTATCGAAACTGACTGGAACAGCTGTCGAAGTAGTATGGTTCTAGTTGGGCTGGTAATTGTTGAAACATAAAGGCAGACAGTCGAAATGGTGACGAACGCGTGACGAGGACGTGTGTTGTCTCTTGAAATGTGTAATAATCGTTGTTGTTTTTCATTATAAAGTTATAAGTTTTTTATGAAAACATTTAACTATTGAAGTGGGTTGCTTTTTATCAGCAAACAGACAGTTATTCATATAACTGCTTCTTTCCATTTGACCGTTCTCTTATGTGTTCCCGATCCATTCCAATATTTTCTTTGTCAATAACCATAAATCGTGGTCATTTGCACATCTCTTAGTCATTGTTTTTTCCACATCCAGCGTATCGTCGTTCTTCTGAGTGTCCTCTATTAGTAATCATTCGCTTGCTACACTATCGGCATGAGCACATGCAAAACATAAGCTCTTACTCGTAGAGCTACCTCGCAGAGCTCTCTCTTATAATATCAATGTTGTGAAATTTTTAGGAGATCGCTGAACAAACCGGTGACCATGAAGCGGTTCGACGTCTCCAACAAGAACTCGAGGAATTGGATTCAAGAGCGGACAGAGCGGTATGGTCGCAGTTCTTTTTTTGTCGCAGTATCTCTTTTATTTACAACATACATTTGAAATATCGCTGCATAATGAACTTATGACTATCGTGCAGATGATTTAGGTGAGCACACAACATGTTCTGGGTTTAGTTAGAATTTCGAATAAATACACCTTGGAAGTTGTATAGTGTTTGTGTTAAGAATCTTTTAGGAGGATACTGATGATGCATGCTCTCCTGAAAGACCCTATTCTCTCAGTAGTTTTCTTCTGTATGACTGATGGAGCTCTACTAAAATGTCTACACTTTTGTTGGCGCTAAACTGAATCGTCTTTTGACTAGCGGTTTCAAATGAATGTTTTCTTTTTAGTTTTATTTTTGCTTAATAGTTTGTAAAGCTTTGTGATATTTTGTTACAATCAGAAACTAGTCTTTTGTATGTGAATAGTTAACCATGATGTGTTCATCGTTATCAGTTGCCCACAATACTCATTACTAGTCCTCATATTTATACCAACCTTTTGATGCTTTCGATTTGTTTCTTGCATATACAATGATGATTGGCTATTTAGATGAGAATCGCAGTTAATATCGTTCTAGGATAAGAAACGATGTGCTGATATATCGGCGATCAACTGGATAAACCAGCGCAATCGTAACAAGATGAAGGAGCAGTTTCTCAGCGATAAGGTCGAGATCGATTTAGGACATCAAGACGATCCATTTACACGCAAAAAGGAACGGATGAAGGTGTGTAGTCTATCATAACAGGCTAATTCACTAAGCAATTTAAGTCCGCAAAAGTTACTGTAGGAGCCAAATATGCCTTCATTCATCTCTGCAATATTACGAGTGAAGCAAAATGCTTGGCACATCCATCAGGGACACATATTGATCAAACCTTTTGTCTTATATATTTTATGGCATTCAAACGTTAGTAACTTGTAGCTAACCTATTTTATTCCTTATTTGCTTGCATATGCGTTTAATCTCGAGCCAAATGCCTTCTTTTATGGCTGGGAATGTTGGTTTTGGAATTCATGTTTGCTTCACTCATGGTGACAAAATTAAGGATCTGAGTAAGAGAACGAATTTTTGCAGTGCGCATTGTTTTCTATGCGGGAGCTATCTCTATTTTGATGTTTACTAAGCCACTATTGTGGGGAAAATGACAAAATTGTCATTTGGTTTACGACAAACCATTGAGTATGACACCAGTAATTATGATGAACCGATTCGGAAACAAAAATTTCAACTGACCTACATTGATAACAGAGAACTTTGGAAAGCGTTATCAGTGAGTGTTCCAATTATGAACTATCTGAATGGGAATATTGACTAGGTTTTATACTAATTTTCGGGTGTCAAGCAGTGGACAAATCGATACTTATACATCTTAGACGTGTCTCCTACTTAATACACAACTATAGAAAGAGAGTTTATTTGAGGGAAGTACAGTGCTCAAACTCATCATCAAAGCCGCCTTGGTAATCTGAGAGAAATAGTTTATTTACTGGCGATTTTGTTGAAAGATGCAACATATTTTAGTTAACAATAAGGTTTTTATAGGTGGTTTCCGGCACCAAAAGTATTTTGACCACAAATGAGGCTGGATCGTCAAGTGAGTCCATTTCTATATTAAATAGAGGTTTGTCGCCTAGCAACTGGTTAAACGGCTTAAAATTTGAAAACATCGGAAAACACGTAATCCGTTAAATAGGAGAACGTTCGCATTTAAGATGAAGCAACAAACAAATTTGGAGCAAATCGTCGCTGTCGACCATAGAAATACTTTTTTATTAATGAAGCGTGTTCTGCGTTCTTCTTATTGTTCTTCTTATTAATGAAGCGTGTTTCTCAAACATTAGTGATTACAAATTTTATAGCCTTTTTCGTTAGCACGTATATTACAGCACCAACTTCGTCAGCAACTTCCTCCAAGACGAAGCCGTCGTCATCGTACACACCGGCTAGTGGTCCGTCGCCGCAGTTCTCAAAAAGTGCTAGCAATCTTTTCGATTTACATGGTAGTATCAAAAAGGTCGATCTTGACATAGACTTAGGTACGTTATTTTTCGTTAACCGGACGTTTTAAGTTCTTTTTTCGTTCGGATTTTTACTCCACAGAAAATTTTACTGGCTTTGAATGGTAATCCGTAAAATTTTTTAAACCGGTTTCGAATATCGAGTTCAGGAAAACTAACACGGCCAACAACAAGTCGAGTCGACGAGTTATTACATCTGCCATCTCCACGCCCAACAGCTCCTCCAAATTCAGGATCACGGTACGATCGCTGTTTTGTTCTATCATTCTTGACTTATGTTTGAGTTTCTTCTTTAATCTAATTGTAACGGGCCATCATACTTTGAAGAACTGAAGGTTTTATCTAGCTGATTTAGCTGCCCAGTGAGCTGCATGCTAGGTAATTGTGAGGTAGCCTAATATTACAGGGTTTAATAAAGTAATAGATTGCTCTGAAATTGGTACGTGGTTTATATCTTAGTTTTTTTCGTCCATTGTTCTTTTTTTATTTCGACATTTTGTTTCTAGTTAACGTTTTATTCTTTTGTATTTATATTAAATATCACTTTGTAGCACGTTTTTCGCTTAATACTTTCATATCATAATAACTCGAAAGGCCGAATTTCTATAAACCTCGGCATAGGTAGTTGATATATTTATTTCTATGATCTTATAAGCCGATCTTCTTAAGCTGATGCGAGGTTGTTATAGGTCTTCGTTGTCGTTGTCGTTGTTGTTGATGTTGTTGGTCGATGGTTGACTTCACCTTCTTCAGAGCCTAGACGTATTCTATACTAGAATATTTTTATTATTCGGTGGAAAAAAGGTTAAAGTATTGATGAAGATCAAACTTTCAAATTGACGCCATATTGAACAGAAAGGCCACTCACCGTGATGTTACATGCGGGACTGGCCCATGCGTTGTTCACGTGGGGTCGCGAGCAAGACACATCCCGGGGTCAAAATATCATTTTGAAGTAGAGCGCCAGGTCACGCGTGATAGTGAGGCATTTGTCTTTCCGGTTCATCTTTGGATTTTTGAAATTTATCCAAAACGCTTCAAGAGTTTTGCGCGTTGGTGTTTTTGATTCCTGCGATAGGATCCGTACAGTCACTTCAAAATCATCGCCGTTGTGCTTTTGTGCCCTATGCGTACCTAGAGGAGTCTTTAGATGGATTTTAGCTTTACCATCTAGATGTTCTTTAATGCGGACACAAAGTGGTCTACCCGTTTCCCCAATATATTACTCACCGCATGCGTTACATGAGATCATGTATATTATATCTAAACTCACGCAGTTCCCATCTCTTCCGTAGGACAGATCAAAATGCAAAGATGGACCGGAAAGACGAATGCCTCACTATCACACATGACCGAGCGCCCTATTTCAAAATGATATTTTGACCCCGGGGTGTGTCTTGCTCACGACCCCACATGAACTACGTGTGGGCCAGTCCCACACGTAACATCACGGTGAGTGGCCTTTCTGTCCAATATGGCGTCAATTTGAAAGTTTGATCTTCATCAATACTTTAACCTTTTTCCACCGAATAATTAAAATATTCTAGTATAGAATACGTCTAGGCTCTGAGGAAGGTGAAGTCGCCGAAACGTCACCCATCGACCAGCAACATCAACAACAACGACAACGACAACGAAGACCTGTACCAACCTCGCATCAGCTTAAGAAGGTCAGTTTATAAGATCATATAAATAAATATATCAACTTTCACATAATATAGTTATTTTTAAAAATCAATTGTGATCCGCATTACTGAAATAAAAATGGACGAAGAGGCTGCATGCCAGCAATTTTTTGCTGGAATTGAAACATAAACGTAAAACCACTGGAAGCTCTCTACGAAAGTGATCCATAACTTTATGAAATTGGATTAAGATGGATTGTCTACGACAACCGGTGCCATTTTGCATGATGTTGAGAGATTTGAAGCACATGAAGATTCTGGAGGCTTATTCCATCAGAAAGGTGTTGATGACGCTTTTCAGGCTCGGAAATTTTAAATACTTATCATATCTGAGACTATTATTTTACCCATTACTGCCGAGTATCGTTAGCTGGAATGCAAATCTACCAAGAACTACGTTTTCGGCTTGTAATCTATGAGATACAGTAGCAGTTGAAAGCGTTGAGGTATAACGCTGGCATGGTTCCATACTTCTTATCGGCCGAGAATGTATAGATTATAATGGTTTTTATTCAAAATATTAACTTTTTTTTTACTGCATAGTATAATCTTCACGGCAGGGTGTTAGGCAAAATCAACCACAATGATGCTGAGATATTTGCAAAACTCTGGGCGGCAGGTGTCTGGGGTAGGGATCGAACACGCCATTACCCTTTCCGGCGGCTAACGCGTTCACCACCACACTATGCGCATACTTCGTTTCGCTATTCTCTCAATTAGTTTTCATTTAGATTGATAAAATCTGCCACTATCTGCTATATGTTTGAGGTTTATGAGGAAGCTATATAGTGCGTTTCTAATTACGGCTGGCGAAATTAACATCAGTGATTTCATTTCAGTTGTGATGGAGTTCAAAATTGTTTCCAAATCTACTCGCTTATTTTTTTGACAGTCGTCACATTATATAAATTTAAGAAAAGACCAGTCCGTGATCTATGTTAGTAGCAATGTCGTTAGTCTTTACGCTATCCGAATGGATATAAATAATGTCTGTATTCGTTCCTTTTTCCCGTCAGAGCTACCCAGTTTATTGAAGAACATGAAGAGCATGACATTTTTCATGTAAGGCCACCGACGCAATTAGTTTTGATATCTGCTTGTCTTCATGAGTACTTTTGTGGCGCTTTATTTCATCTCTACATTAGTAAGAAATTTGTCATTGGTGGTGAAATTTGGTCATAACCGGCAAGTAGTGAGCACGATATGTTACTTTGATTGGCGTAATAGGTGCTACTCATAAATTGTTATAGCTACTGCAAAGAAAATTTTCCTTCAGACCACTTTCTTTGGAGGACTATCGTCGTCGTAAGGCAGCGGCTGCACAGGCGCCGTGAAGTACTTTGTTATGATCGTCTTTAATATTCCAGTATGATTACTATGTTATGCCATAATAGTGTAGCTGTCTTCGTGGTTTAATTAGCTTCTTAATAACGACTATGCTTAATGATTTCTGTGTGTTTAACGCTTTGTAATGTGTAACAGTAATGTAAATCATGAGGAGATTCCAACTTGATTTTGTTTAACCCTAGGGTTCCCAACAAGCAGCTGGACGTTTTTCTTTGTGTTGTAGTATTGATTACAATCAGGATTGGTACTGGTTTTGTGTATTGTCATCATGATGTTTTCGTAAATGTTCTTTTAGCTGGAAATCGCGTAATAGTTCGTTGATCTATCTCGACTACTCTTTAATTTCAAATTATTTCTTTTGTGTAATTGATTTTTGTAGTAATGTGACGTAAATGATTAATCCAGTACAGTAGTTTATCCAGGAAGGTAATAAGCGTATTAGGATTGAAATGGCCATTTTCAAAGTGTACCGTGGTGATCACAGGTACACAAAAAGGGATTCAGTTTAAAATAAGACATTGACTAGAGTAATTCAATGGTTTATTATCACGAGAAACTATGTCAACTGAACAGCTCTAAAGTCTAATCCCAGTTCAGTACCCGTTGGGGATTCGGCTCATGGTTGTATGATTGGAAGTTTAGGTCAAGATTTTTCGGCATCACAGCTTTTTCAGAGGAGTTGAATGCAACCATGAGTGTGCGCTTAGAATACATTGACAGGCGACCGGAATCTGAAATGTAGGTTGTGGTCGGTGAAGCTTGGGAACTTGATCATGTAGCGAAGCTGCTTAAGGGGACGGTTAGCGTGTTAGTTGTCAAGGTTTATGGTTTACGTTCACAAAGTTAATGTAGTTGTTTGTCGGAACGATATTAGGAAAGAATGTATCAGCTATCAGGTTTGTGAGTTGATGTGCTTATCTACCCAGTTATTCCAAAGTTGTTTTTGTGGCTATAAGCTGGGAAAGGATAGATCTCTCGATGTGGACCATTGTCTGGAGGGCGTGATCTATCCAGCGTCGTTAAGGATTGTTAGAGGTGTTGGAAATGCATATCTGGCCTTTACAGGGAATTGTCGTGGCCTGCTGATGTAAAGTCTGGGTTTTTATCCCTCTAAAATTGTGGTACTAATTTAGGGATCCTGGAGGGATGGAAGACTCGATGAGCTTAGGGTGCAGGATCGAGCGGACGAGTACATCATGTCTTTTGTTTTTAAATCGATACAATGTAGGCATGAAAACAGCTTGATAGTGTAATAAGGAGCGAGGATTCATTAACAGCAGACTTGAAGCTTCTTTGTAGACAGAAAGCATACATTTCCAACAAATCAACGAAAGAAAGGTTGTGGAACATAATTTGTAATCTTATTAATCATCGAGTTACTCGGCTGAGCACCAGTGAACTCTGTTCCTCACCTTAGGCGCAATAAAGTGATTGGTACTCGTCATACGCCTAACTAATAGCCACAGCTAGCTTGCTGAGCTAATTCAAGTTATGGTTCTTCTGTTATCCGTTCTTCTGGATAGAAACGTTGAACTCATTCTCAGCTCGGGTGCTCTCGATAGCGGGATGAATCCAGTTCGATACTCAGGAATACCTCAGCATTACAAGATAGTAAATTAGTGGAGTTATGGTGTGGAGCAAACCCATGCTAAACGATTTTTGGTAAAACGACCTTAAGCTCCTCATATGGTCTCATTCACTTGTCGTTGTGGATAATAAAAACGTGCGAACAAGGCTACTCCAAATGGTTGATAGGTGTAAGTGTTAATTCATTGGCGGTGTCGTAAAAACGAAGTGAACGAGACATCGCCGTTCCTAACCCAACACGACACAATTGCAGCTGAATCAATCAGACACGGCCTTTGATCAGAGGAAGAAAAGAGGACACCGACTGTGTAAAAGATGCGACTATAGGTCAGCAATGAAATCTTTTCTTTAGCCTTATACAGGCAATGCTATATGCGTAACAATACGCACCTGGATCTCATATGGAATCCAATCTTCACATTCGGAACTGCCATGATTCCGCAACACAGGCAGTGTTAGGGGTTCTTCTCGACATGTTCCATGTGCTAAAGATGTACTAAGATGAGTTCCTGTTTGATTCGTACGGTTGTAAACTTTATGTACCAGAAACGAAATATGGGTAGATCGTTAAGTAAACTGTAATGGAGATACTTATATGAGATGTGCTTTCGCGTGAAATTTCAGCAATATTTTCCATAGAGAAAACTCTTCGAAACCGAATAAAGTGTATTTCCCTTAATGATGGTGAGATATTTGCAAAACTCCGGACCGTAGGTGTCTGCGATGGGGAACGAACGCGCTATTGTGAATTTCAACTATAGCCTCAGCTTAACTGAGTTCAATGTCGATTCGCACTCCCCAGATCAATCCCGTTGACAGGTGACGGCTGATGGCAGTGATCGATAGAACTAGCTGAGAGACAGCAGAAACGAAGGACCCGCATGGTGTGGTGGTGAACGCGTTAGCCCAGGAAAGGACAATAACGCATCCGTTCCCCACCGCAGATACCTGCGGTCCCGATTTTTGCGAATATCTCAGCATCATTGTGGTTGTTTCGCAAATAATACCCTGCCGTGAAAACTTGGAAAAGGCAGTAAAGAAAAAGTCAACATTGTGTATTTCCCTTAATCTATAGAAAGGATATGTCTCACAAAATTTTATGTATGGCTAGAAAATAGGCAATGAAAACTAACGTCTGTCTGAAAAGTCAAAAATGCACCCGATCTCACGTTTATCGCACAGCACTGAGTTGATAAAATTTGGAAAGCAGTTCTCACTGAGTAAGTAGGCGCCTTGACACACTATAAGTACAAGGTCTTCAAATGTCTGTTAAAATCTCTCTGACAATGTTTTCTCGTCATGTTATTGATTCGTAATCACTCACCTTTATCACCTGCTTCACTTTTTATCTACTAAGTAACTAGAGTTGCTACTACCAAAATCTATTTGTTCTCATAGGAAATGAAAGGAGCGACATGTTCTTGATTGGGTTTTGGCGAGAAAGAAACCATCCACAGCTTAATGGTATCTACCGCAGGTTGTTATCTGTGCTTCCGAATAGGAACGTTCAACTTATTCCCAACTTGGAGCACCCCCTTGGTGTGGAAGAAGTGGATGTAAAACCCGATAAGAATCGGAATTTGACACTGAGATGCACTTCCACCCATGGATGATGGCTGGACCACTAGGGGTATTGGGAGCTGACTTCCGAAAGTGTTGTAATAGCTATTTCCACGCAGTCAGTTCAAGTGCTTTCGTATTTGTTACAGAATATTTATCATATTGTGGTTATGTCGCACTAGGAGTCTTTCCTATTCCCACTAATTCTGTTCCGTAATCATACGATATAACAGCGACATAATTATTCTCCTAAAAGAAATAACGCATCTAAGAATGAGTACTTACTTGAGCACAGCTCGTATCCCTGTGAAGTGACCTCACTGCTCCGATCAGTACAGTTTTTTAACGGTATAAATGTCTCTATAATGACTTCTATATTGTATTATACCACATTTACAGTCGTAGTGGACATCTCTGGATAGGGCATCCGTCTCTTGAAGAAGACGGAGACCTTACTAATCACAAAGAAAAGTCATCGAGTAGATCGTGCGGTCCACGTGCAAACTCTTATTTCTCCGGATGTAAGCTAGTGCATCCGGAACACAACTATTCTCAATTCTAAGCACATTTGACTATCTCTACATCTTGCTAACTTTCTGTAGTATTTTAGTGCTAATGTTCTTGTATTCGTGCCGTAATTTTCCACTTCTCACTTATTTTTAGCCACTAGTTTGCCTTACCTAGTGAGCATTTTCCCATAGAACTAAAATCCCTCTCAATTTCAACAAGCTCCACGTCGTCGTGCTGAGTCTGCAAAAATGGCGCTGCTGCCCATAACCTCCTCTTCGGTTGACGTTTTTCCAAAGCATTTTCGAGCCTAATGCGAATTGTCTCACATTCTTTATTACAGTATGGCGTATATTTATCCTGAAAAGGTAACCGACGAGTTTATTCGTAATAAATTATTATTAATAAATTGTAATTTCAGAGGACAAATAGATATATCTATACACCAGGAGTTTTATCAAAAGCCCATATTTAACGCTATGCCTAACTTTATTTCAATTATTTTCTAAGCATGTAATGTTACGTCGTGCACAGGGCAATCTCACTAAAGTTATTATTTCATGTTCGTGCATATCACACTAGGATAGGTAGCGCAGTGGTAGGCATGCTATTTATCACGAACACGATGCTGATTTGATGCCCGCTTGTACTCACTATGCCTCCCATTACTGTGGTCGGGGACTTAGTAATAGGCTTGTCTGAGATCAGCCCACTTCCACCACTCCACGTAGGGGCGCTGCAGCACGGCTATCTTAGAACTGCAGGGAAAATAGTCTCGACCAGCATTCAGTGGCGTTCATAATGATGACGAAAATCCTCAAACAGCAGGCGAACCTACGCTCAAAAAATTCGAACACCTCCGCGGTTGAGGAAACGAGGAAATGAACCGAATAAAAAAGTGATAGGCGCGGCACAATATGTGTAAAGATTTCCCATGTGAAATACATCATAACACGGAGGTAGGTGGTGCAGTGGCGTTGCAAGTGTCTGGCGATACACAATGTAGTTGGTTCGACCCCGAGCCTCTGCGTTCATCCTTCTGAGGATCAGAAAATATGCTAATGCAGGCCAATGTATAGGGAAAATACGAATTCAATCACCTCTACGGTGTTATGAATGGAGACCAATGCGCCACAGGTCAACGCATAACGTACTGGTTTAATTGGTTAACCACATTATTCAATTATTTCATTGAAATTCCGAAAACTTATGTACTTTTTTCATTGATATTCCAAAAGAGGTTGGTAAAAACAATGGAAACAACTAGTTATGGGGAACACCTGAACTTCTTGATAAATTAATGTTCTGCGCTCCGTAAAGGGTTGCAACAATTGCTACTAATAAAATGATTCTAAGAAGATAGTGAGTTTTTAAGCAGTTTGAGAGATCTAATCAAGAATGCTTTTTCCTTCATTAACACGAGAACGGTAAGCAATGTACGTGTGCAGCGCAGTGGTTAGAGGCGCCCTGACATCCGCAGAGAATTGATCTCGTGCCCTAGGCCCACTAAGCCTTCCAACCTTCTGAGGTCGGCAAATTGGTACCATACCTGCTTAGGAGGATAGCAGCATTGACTCGACACATCGATAGACCACCTCAAGTCATTGAAAAAGCCATATATACATTCAATCACCTTTAACGATACTTGGTCAAATCGAATGCATTGCGCAACCCTCAGGGATTGATCGACGCCAAGAGCTTCATGCTTTATTTTTAGAATGGAATAAGTCGAGAATGAAAAAGCAATAAATGAAAAGCTAGAAAGGCTTTGACCATAGGATTTAGGTGCTATGCTTAGTTTCACATTTCAATAAAATAACAGGAAAACTGGTATTTAGTATGACAGATTTAAAATTAGAAAAGTTTTTGAATGAAAAATGATGCATATTATCGAAATATCCAGAAAACTTTAGTGATTTCTTTAACGAGAACCTACCTCCTGAGGTACATCCGCATATTTCATAAGTAGTGGTGAAGATGCCGAACTAACAAAACTTCTGGACGCTTCTTCGGGTGTCTAAATATTACCGGTATCGATAGGAAATCAACAAGGTGAGATTTTCTGACGAACGTTTTGTGTTGATAGAAGGAATACTGGAATCACATTCATTTTCAGTCATCTAAATATTTTGCTAATAACTACAGCCTTATGTGATCTTGTGCCAGCAAGCGGAATAATCATGCCATAGTTATGAATTTTCCAAGATTTTCAGTATATCTGAACAATCTACATTTATTTGAATGGCGCTCCGTTCGTGTCGCTATGCAGGCTACGATTTAATCGGTTATTTATTTGACTAACGTGGTTTTGTTAAAGGGGCAGACTTTGACTTGACTGACCTCGGAACTCCAGGGAACCACGATGGCTAAACTAGCAAAACTCCGAAAACATGGAGATTATGCTGGGGTCCGTACAAGTGAGAACGGACCATCCAAATGACCAAGTAAGATTTTGTTAACAATTTCTTTCTAACTGTTTAATATATGATTAAATTGGTTGATTATTTGTATTTTGCCTTCTCAAAACACTCCATAAGCTATGTTACATAGTAATGTTTGAAAATAATTTCTTGAATGAAAGAATGAAAATGAAAAGCTTTTAATATTTCAGAAACCTACTTTCCTTTAACCTCGGTTTGATTAATCAATATGTGTTTAACTTGCTGAGCTTCCACGAGTTTGTTAAATAACTTTCATTCGGCTAACGCTTTTACGTCTTCGTCTTCATCAGAGCCTATGACCCGAGTTGATGGTCCAACGATGTTCGTCTTATCGATATGGCATCTACCTCTTCGTATCGAGTCGGATCTTCTTTAGCGAGCATCTCTCGAAGGAGGCTTCCTCATTCGGTGATGCTGTTTTACACAGGATCATTGTTGTTGATATGACTATCCGTTGATAATTACTTCTTTTTCAAAGGACAATCCATCCTACAGCAGTCGGTATTAGAATACTTAGCACATAGAGAAATAATAGTGTTACTGAACCGACTTTCACTTAATCTCTGCGTGAATAATACGATGTATATAGGTACGATACGAGGATACCACATCGAGAGTACGAAGGAATATGGATCATCGACTCCGATGAAGACGAAAACTTCGGAACGTTAGCCGAACAAAAGTTATATAACAGTTTTAAACATAAATAATTTTTAAATTTGGCGCATTTTTCAGTACGACAATGTTAACATTCTTGACACAAAAAGTTCTTTATAAATTGTTATTTGTTCAGAATAATTTTCCATGTTCAATGACGATCATAATGACTGTGTTGTATATGCTATTGAATAAGGAAAAAAAAACTTTTGTATGCCAAAATAAATGTCTACAAAGAAAACGAGTTGGCATCAACTCACGCCGGTCCATTTGCCCCTCCCTCACATGTATGAGTGGTAATCCATTTACAACCACAACGTTGCTGAGATATCTGCAAAACTCTGGACCGCAGGTGTCTATGGTGGGGAACGAACGCGCTATTGTCCTTTCCGGGGAGTAACGCGTTCACCACCACACCATGCGGGTCCTTCGTTTCGCTTGTCTCTCAGCTATATTCTGTCTCTCTATAATCCATTTACCTCGAACACCGTGGCTCATGTATAAAACACCAAAAATTTTTGTTGAATTTTCATGTGTAGAGTAATTCATAGTAGCGTAAATGTGACGGACCTCTGCCAAATAGCGTTGGTTTCGTCCACCGAGAGCTTCCAGCATTTTGTACTTTTCGCGAAGCGAATATTTTCGACATTTGGCATCGTTCCTTTAAACAGAACAACTCATAGAGACGAAATTTTTGGCGAAAGCTCACCAAGCTGAAGAAAAGAGAAAAAATGAAATGAAATAAAAGAATGAATAAGAAGAGAAAAACGAGAAAAACCATCTAGGAAGACGTGAAAAAAGTTTTGGGACGTCGAAATATAACCAACTTTCTAGTACGAGGGCGCTTTCGCAGAGGAATCACCTCTGTTCTCATTTTTCGACCAGTGTTGTTAACCTGAAAATATTTTTTCGAGTTTTTTTTTGCTTACTGTGACCTACTTTTCATTATTCGCGTTATTCAGGTTTTGGAAAAATCTCCAGTTTATACGTCTTCTTATCTGTCTATATTTCCCATGATTTATCTTTTATATCTGTCCTGATGAACGAAGATGGGCCTGTTATCATATACCGCCTTGATATGGAATTGGGAGCGTAAAAATTCTGTATTAATCTTTTCCGTTCTAAAATCCTAATCTCGGACCCCGAATTCTCCTTTGGAGAAGAACCACTTGAAATTAATTCTCGCTGAAGTTCGGCAGAAAACTTGAAGAGAGGCACAGATCTATGATCCAAAAATATCACCGCGGATTTGTTTTGGGTTGAAGATCACATATTTCATTACCCATATGACATCTCACCTTAAGAAGAAGACATTCCCATACCAGTAGAAAATGGGCGCGCACGGTCATCCTTCCCAGAAACCGTGATCGAGGGGGTCTTCGTAACAACCGTCCAACATTTTGTTGAATGTACTCTATAATCTGTTGACGATGATTATCCTTTTGGGCATATCGATGACCATAGATGAGCCACTACCATTTGAGCAAGCAGGATTTCGAAAGGGATTCTGCTGCATGAACCGCATCCAAACCGTGTCACTGGTCACAGATGTTTGAATGTTTGTTAGGAGTGCGATCTGCCTCTTGTTCTAATTTTTATTTGCTACGACAAAGCGTTTGACAACGTCGAAACGAATGCAATCCTATCAGCGCTCGTCAACCGAGAAGTGGAGCCGTCCTAC